GGGGGGGGGTGGAATTTCCACTTTGCATCGCGAGGCGTTTCTCTCGGATATCCTTACCTTATGCTATAAAATGCAAATGTTGCCTTAAGGGGATACTTTACTGTTCACTCTTGATTTGAATATTTCTACTAGTGACATGCCGTAAACCTGACCTTTCTTTATCTCATACTTCCGTCATTCTTTGTAACGCATGGTCCCCATGTTGCACCGCAATACTCATGCAGTGCTAGATGCAGGGTTCATCTGCAGTACATCTGATTCTTCAATACGGACCACTATCAAGTCACTCAGGCCGACAAATCCAAGTCACCTACGGAATATAGTACCCCAAAAATTCCCAATTCAAGTGTTTACCGGGTTGGAGAAAGTGTGATGCCCATTGCCCTCTTGTTTTTCTTTTCTCGCCTCTCTATCAGAACCTATCTTTGCTCCTTTTAATAGCTCACCTATCTCAAATTTACTGCCTTACCCTCAAGATGGCAGTACGGACAGGTCTCGACTACATACGTTCGCGCACGCAGATCGACTGTGATACGATGGACGACGAAGGTGACTGACCCTACTTCGTCGATAAATCATAGGATCATTCTCAAATGGCTAACTACTTTTTAGTCGCCAAAGCTCTGGGACCATTCCAAGATTGCACTTCCAATCAAGTAAGCACATGAACGTGTCACGTATTCGGGCCATGAAGCTGACCGTGCAGGCTATTGCACTTGGTGAGCTTTCTAAGCCAGAGCGGTTTAGCATCATTGCGTCATCGTGGGCAGATGCGGCGATGCTGCATCCGAAGTGGTCCATGGATGTTGAAGAATTGGTCGTCGAGATTGCGGTGAGTTATGGTTCGGATTCTAGCAGTGATGATGTTGATGGTCTGAAGGAAGAAATCCACTAACTTCCAATTGATAGATGGTCAGATTGGCTGTAGGAATGGCAAAACACATTCGTCGACGTGTCCATGTACAGATTAATCCCTATCACTCGTACTCGTCAGAGAAGATTGTCCTAAATGCACTCCGTAGGTTTGGTTTTTTTCATTGAAATTACCATTGATTGATTGGACCTGATGATAATCACCTATAGGAATCGTGCAATTGTTCCAGCATGTCCAGCCCGGCTTCGACGCTACTCGCATTTGCATCAAGATTCCTAGTACTTGGGAGGGAATGATGGCCTGTCGCACCCTTGAATTAGCTGGTGTGCATACCTTAGCGACCACTCTGTTTAGCATGACTCAAGCTGTTCTCGCAGCCGAGGTCAACTGCTCTTATATCGCACCCTATGTGAACGAATTGAAGGCACATGTGCAAGCAGGGTAAGTACCGGGCTCTTCCTTTGAAACCCTGTCTAACATCATTCCCATTCCAGATTCGTGGACAACGCAAAATTGCTCCCTCTTTGTGCTGCTATTCAGAATTACTACAAGTCCATCAATTCGCGCACCCAAGTCCTCCCTGCTAGTCTGACGTCTGTTGAGGAGATCTTCTTGCTCGCTGGGGTAGATCACCTCACCATCTCGCCAGGCCTGTTGACAGAATTGACTCAGCCTTTTGCAGGAAATGTCAAGTCGCTATTTGATATTGAGGCGACACTTCCAATCCCGGCACGGAATGTCTCTTTTATCAACGACCCTGGAAACTACCAGATCACCTTTGTCCGAGACCAGGGTGGTGCTAGTCCAGTCAAGTTAACCGAGGTAAGTGCATACATTGATCGGCCTTTAAGCTTCGCTGACAGAGACCAAGGCCATAAACATCTTCTGTGATGCCCAGGACAAGTTGGTGTTGCTTATGAAGGAACATTATTAGCTCTCTAGATTTTGGTAGCCCATGATCAATATCGATTTATTTTGATTGAGTCGTAGCGTAGTTAAATGCTAGAAATAGAAGGAAATTAATGAAATGAGCACTTAGAATGCCAACCTGAAATGTCCTCAAGTTCGTATACTTCAATCGCACGTGACCACACGACGTCATCCACGGTTCCGTTTTAGATTTCTCCAATTCTCTTCGCGTCCCTCCAATTGCCTTATTTTCAACTTGCACAGAGCTGGATCTTCCAGCTACTACATCTGTTTATATTGGCGTCCTTCTTTTACATTGTTTCGCTTCCCAGACCTTTAGGGAGACTCTTGAATCTGAATCGCACGGTTCGCCTGCAGGATGTTCCCTTCGCAGGCGGCTAATTTTAACATCGAGGCCCTTAGCGGCATTTGCGGGTAAGCTCAACAAGCTGGACTTCTCTTTTTTTTTCGGATTGGGGGGGGGGGGGGGGGAAATTGGTTAGCTGTCACGTTCATTCAATGCATGCAAGTGTGACATCAGATTAAGATCTACTTGGCCCGGCGATCTCTGTATTTGTTTTCCAAAATCCAAAATTGACCAATCATCTAGATCGATTTCTATTGCCTGTTGGGTGGTCGTTTTCTCCCCTCAAATCATCGAGAATTTCCGACGTGGCTCTGCAGATGGCCTCTCTCTTATCTTCCTCATTATCTGGTTGGCTGGCGATGTGTTCAACATCCTAGGCGCCGTTCTGCAAGGCGTGCTTCCTACCATGATCATTCTTGCAGTGTACTACACTCTAGCAGATATTGTTTTGCTTGGGCAGTGCTTTTACTACCGGGGCTTCAATCTCAAGGAGGAGCTCTCTCCCTCCGCTACACCGGACCTCTTTGCAGTCAATGATGCCGAGCAGAATGGCGCCGAACATCAACCAGCACCAACGGAGAGATCCGCCCTCATCTCAAAGCCCACCGGCCAGGTCCGAATTGAGGATCCAACTATAAACTTGACTGGACAGCAACCCGAGGACCGTACACGCCCACTCTCCGCGGGAAGACGGCACTCGGCAACCTCTTACCATGATATCTTCCACTCATCGGTAGATGCAACCCATCTTTCACCCGCAACACCGTTTGTCGAACCTACATCCGATTCCGCGCGGCGCCGTGCTCAACGTGCCCGCCGCCGCCGCATCTCCACCCTCCAATCTGTTCTATTCAATTTCACCGCCGTCGCTCTAGTCTGTGCTGCAGGTGTGATGGGCTGGTTCGTCAGCCCGGTAGCACAGTCATCATCGCCAGATCGGGAACCTCTCACTATGGATGTTCTGGGTCAAGTATTTGGATATTTCTGTGCAGCCTTATATCTTGGGTCACGTCTGCCCCAGCTTCTCTTGAACTACCGCCGCAAGTCAACGGATGGTGTTTCCCTGCTGTTCTTCCTTTTTGCTTGCATCGGAAATTTGACCTACGTGCTTTCCATTCTGGCATACTCGCCTGTTTGCCATGGTGCATCTTCCGAAGGGATTATGGGGCATCGTCACCGTGCGCATTGTGATCCTGGCGAGGCGGCTGCGCTGTACGGTCGTTACGTATTGGTGAATTTGTCGTGGTTGATCGGTAGTGCTGGCACACTGCTGCTGGATATGGCGATCTTTACTCAATTCTTCCTGTACCGAGATGGCAAGAGTGACGAGGAGGAAGAGGAAGAGTAGAAACTTAAGAGGTGGATGTAATTTTATTGCACTTACATCAACGTTTGAAGAGAACATTGCAGAACTCCAACTCTGCAGAACTCCAACTCCCGTCTTTTGAGGCTTAGCTATATGTAAATATGGACCAGCCTTGTGGAATCACTTTGGAGCAAAGAGAAAAAAAAGGCTGAATTTGCAGGTTCTCTCGAATATCTGGTAGTCTATTAGATACTGTCCCCTCTTGTTGGTGTTCTGACTAAAATTTAGGCGGTGGAAATGGCTTGAAGTGTGCACGACGTTTCCATGCATAGCCTTTGACTACTACCCAATGCGTTGTTGATGATCTGGCTGCCAACGACGAGGTTCTGATCTGATATCCAATCGTTACAAGTCAATCTTAATCCAGGATACATGCGTTCCTCACAAATTGGAACAGAGACCGTGGTGGAAAAGCTGCAGGGCCGGCCAGATCGGCTTACGATGCTTCTGGACACGCCGCTCGTACGACTTGTACATGGATATGTGGCAGGGACTGGGCATCAGCAGTGCCCGATGATCCTAGAAGAGGTCGATAATGTTGCTTCACTGAGGTTGGTATCGTACTATCGGCCAACTAACCTCGACGAAACCATAATACAGTTCTTTAAAGATTCCCTGGACCCTAAGAATCCGACCAAATGCGAACCAACCGAGCTACGCATTCGCTTCGGGTGACATGAAGCTCGGCTAGCGGACAAGTTTGATTTACAGAATGGGGCTTACTAGACCGATGGTTGCGATAAAGCAGGGATTGCAAAACCCCGGCTTGGGTCGTTATGGCTAGGAACCATGAACAATGCGAGTAACAGGTCAGACCTTTGGGCATGAAAAGATTCCTATCATCCATCCTCTAATGCTCGCAGTGTCGATTTGCGCTTGAGGGATTAATACTAGCTCAACGAGGCTAGCGGCAACGGAAACGTTACCCCTGAGCCAACCATCCTCATCGTGAAGCAGGTGCCTCGATATTAACAGACTAGCACAAGCTAGTGCAGAACTATGGCTTGCAGGACAGTGACCGACAATGGCTGTTGTGCAGTATAGTGGGGCTGGCGCCAATATAAGTTTCACGGAGAGCGAATAGAACTCAGACTAAGACCGAGACCTAAGCACTCCCAGCCTATCGTTAAGGCTTCGAGGATACTGACTTGCAGCCCTAAGCTGACTTGTCACCTGGGACAAATCTTCATCTTAGTACTCTCGATGATCCCGTATCACGATACCCGGTCTATACGATCCGTGGAAGCTTCCTAGCCAACAAGACATGGCTATAGAAGGTTGCTGATGAGTTGGGTTTCATTCTTTGCAGCCTTGATTCCAGCCCAATTTCCTCAGATGTCTTTTGAAGCGTAGAGAAAAAGTGGGTATATATACTCCAATTCAATCGTACCATGGAGAGAAAGAACCCCAGATACCAGGTTAAGATACAAAGCGAACGTTAGCAAAAACCTCCTCCACAAACCCCCTCATCGACTGAGACAACCCCTCTACTCTTTTAACTCAACCAACCAATCACCATGCCCATCCCTATGAAGCACCCTCAGATAGTGCATGCTGATACGACCCGAATGGGCCAATGGTCCGATTTCGACGGTGTCGAAGCAGACAAACTCGGCACATGCTCGGTCACGGCAATTGCCAACGAAGAAGGCTTTCTGCTCGCCAATACTTCCTCTGATGGGTTTAGGGAGATCCCTGCTGCAGAGAGTCTGTGCGCACTCTATAATGGGAACAAAGCGCTCTTCGGCAACAAGCCTGTGAATGTGTGGATTGTGTACGAGCAGGAAAACGCCGTGAAAGGACGGAGCATCAGGAGAGTGATGGAGGGAATCCGGCCTGCTCGCATTTTAGAGCAGGTATATAGCGGGGAATCTTTCATGAATCAGCCTAGTGAAGAAGGTGCAAGGTTTTGTCTGAAGTTGGTGGCTGGTACTGTCGTGGCTACTATGCGTCGACAGGATGGTGGGGGGGCTCCCATCCCGATTTTGGGGGATGGGACGACTGTGGTGTGTCGATAAAGAGGGGGGGGAACAGGTTCGGGTATCTATGGGTGCTTGGAAGGGCAAGTGTTTTAGTGGAGTCTACGAATTGAACTACTTGCTTTTCAGAACTAAGATTAATAGGACGACTTGGAAAAAATCATTTCATTGAGACAAATTGAACTAAAAGTTGCGATACCTTAGAAACACCTCGCTGCATGCACCGTAGCAATGAGAAGAGAAGAAAAAAAACTGGAGAAAAAATCATTTAAGGTGGGGTTCCACCTTCCCCTTCGCAACCTCAGACCAGTTCGTGCTCAGCGATGTTCCCTGGCTTTCGGTGTAACTTTTGATCATAGCTCGACGTGTCTCTGGGTCTGCGCCAGCATACAGCTTCTTGAAGAACCCGTCGACAGCATCACCACCTTCGTCATCCGATAAATCGGCTGCGTTGCCTGACTTGTCCTTCGGCTTCTCAGTGAGCGACGATGCGACTTTGTCCCAATCCTTGGTGCCGTGGCGTGACGAGGTGGGATATGAAGGGCCCGAGATAGCTGGCGCGATTTGTGCGGCTGGACGGTCGATGATCTCAGGGGGGTTGGCGGCCGAGCCTTCGAGGGTACCCCATTTTTGGCCGGCTGTCTTCTTTCGCAGAGTGAGTTCAATCTTGGTGCCCTTGACTGAAACCTTGGACTCGGCCGGATTAATAGCTGCATATAGCGGGTCGAGCGTAAAGTCGTATTCAGAGCCAGATGGGAGGGGGAATTGGAGCGAGACCTTTCCCAAATTAGTTCTTAGTGCAATAATGACCGAGCAGAAAAAAAAACTCACAAAATCTTCTTTCAGATCGATTGCGACACTCTCATGTGGAATTCCCTTGACATAAAGAGTCACAACTACAGAGTCCTGTGACTGATACCACTCATGGCGAACCTTTCCCGGGGAAATAGAGGTAGCTGGAGAACTGATGTTTGAGATTTGAATTTGAGAAGCCAAAGCAGCCTCCGCTGGGGATAAGGTCGATCCGGCCGAGATTTGGGGCTTCGGGGGCTGAAATTCATTCTTCTGTGAGGATCCGGCCATCCCCACGTCATTGTCGGCCTTGAGAGCATTCCACTGATCCTTCACCTCATCCCCGGTCGGAATATAGGTGGAAGACGGGAACTCAGTAATAGACACGGTGCACTTTGGGTCATCTTTGGGAAGTTCTGCTAGCTTGCGTTGAAGTTTGGCAGTCCAAATGGGCATTTGGGCACTGTAATTGTTTCTGGGGCCTCCCCATCCGGAACCCGGTCCTCCCATGGCAGCCTGCACCTGCTCGGATTTATTCTCTGGGGCTTTTTCGCTCTTGGTTTTCTTCGCAATGATTTCAAACACATATCCTGCATCTCCATATCGCTCAAGCTGGTACAGCGACACGGCCCGGCGCATCTGTGCGGAGAGAATCAGCTCTCGGTTTCCACGCTCTTTGGCAAGCTGGAGCGCTATTTCGGCATCGGTAAGTGCGGCTTGGTAGTCGGGTCCACCATCTGCGGGCTTGAGGCGGGAATAGGCAGTCGATCGCGAAATGTAGTATGCCGGAGCGCGGGGGAGCTCGCTCAAGGCGTGGGTATAGTGTTGGATGGCGAGGTGGTAGTTGGATTCGGCCGAGGCCTTGTCACCCTTGGCTGCAGCATTCATGGCGATGGTTTCAGGTTCCAGCGGACGTAGTATGGGCAAAGAACAGTTTGTGCAGTCGTCCAGAACGGAGGGATGAATGAGCCGCAGTGGCCAAAGCTCCTGTCGATCACACATTTTTGGATGGGAGGTCACGTGGGTTCTTGTTGTGGGGGGAAGGTGAGGGGAAAAGAGAAGGAGCAATGGGGGAATGAAGAAATTAGATACATCCTACGACTAAGGCATCAATGGCTATGTGATTCAGTATTTTGACGATACCCCTGATTGTTTATGAAGTAGTTTGGTGTGGGATGTTATTTTCACTTGAGATATTTTACACGAGCTCTGTATTGCCGAACTTCTTACTATACAAGCCCAAGGCACGGATAGGCCAGTAGAACTTATAGTTAGGATATGAGATCATGCTAAAAGAGGGTCAGTAATCACCCCCAAAAGAAGATGAGGACATGTCAAACTCACCAAGACTGGTTGAATACACCCTCAATCGACTCCTGCAGCCACTCGCCATTGCGCTGCTGGCGAGACATCAAGAGCTTAATACCTCTCTCCAACGGCTCCTTGTGTGGGTAGCCCGCCTCCATAAGCCCAAGAAGAGCCCAGGCAGTCTGACACACCTGGGACTTCTCATGCTGAACATACTGATGGGTTGCGCTACTCAGATATGACTCGCCCCAGCCACCATCGGCCTGCTGCTTCTCGATCAAGAAATCACAGCCCCGACGAGAGTCGGCGCTCGTTTCGTAGGTCTCGCCAACGCTGGCCAGACTTTCAAGTGCGAACAAGGCTGCGTAAGTGAAGCAGATTCCCCAAGAGCCATACCAGCTACCGTCGGCGCGCTGAACGTGCTTGATGTGGCCGACAGCCTTCTGCTTTGCGGCACGGATTTCGTCGGCGCGATACACGGGGTAGAATTTGCTGAAGAGTGACAGGGCTGTGACAGATGCCGTTGTGCATTCGGGGTGGTCATAGCTGATCATGATACCACCGAAGACCTCCGCGGCATTGAGCCACTCGACCTTGGGCGAGGCGCGGGTAATTTCGTACTCAGAGAAGCCACCGCTTGGGTTTTGCATGAGCAAAAGACAGTCGACGGCGTCCTTCAACCGCTGTTCGGAGATCAGCTTAGGGAAGCCGTGCATCTCCTGCAGCTGGAGTGTTGATCGGAGACCCTCGGCGGTGCAATCGCTAACTGTGTAGCCTTGGTCCTTGGTGCTGAATGGCCAAGCACCCTTACGGTGTTGGCGGTAGCATTTATCTTGATTTGGCACGTTCTCTCGTAATTGATGGTCGTCGAGGAATTCGAGAGCTTTCGTCAACATCGGCCGCCATTTGGGCTCGTCGGCGAAACCAGCGACGACGATCGCCTGGGTAATGAATGCCGTGTCCCAAACTTGCACGCCGTTGGTGCCATTTGCGAGCATGCCCTCGCCCTTAACCCACATATAGTCATTCAACCGCTCCCTGTGTTGGCGGACAGAGTAGCTGTCAGGGCCGTCATGGACAAAGCAAGCTACCATATTCATCGGATTATTGACGGGTCCCAGCCCCGCATATTTGGTATTTTCATCTTCCATACGAATCAACTCCCAGGTCCATTCCTCGGCTCGCTTGACAATACTGGAGAGTCGAAGGTAAGGGTTCCAGACCCGAACCAACAGATCATTGGCTGTATTCAACAGCCACGTCTTGGGGTAATAATTGTCTACCTCGTGAATCGAATTGCGATGCGCAGCAAAATCAACAGAGCTGTATGGCTGGGTGTAGAGCTCTTCGCGCAGCTGTTTTGTCAAGTCGTCGAGAGGGTGAGACCATTTCTTAGACCACAGCCAAGACATTGGGAGAAACACCTGGCGCATATGAATCCACCACCGCCAAGGAGCAAAAGGAACCCAGTCAGGAAGAAGCCTGTATAAACAATTAGAAAAACCAAGGGTTGGGTCTGTTGCAATGTGTGAACACACCAAATCTCGGGGGGAACAGGGTTAACCCCCTCCCACTCCATTACCCCCAGAATGCTGAGCCAGAATTTAGCCCAATGAGGACCGTAGATGGCGCCTCCAAATTTATGGAGAAGGCCTCGAGCTTTAATCATGCGCGGGTCCTCTTCACTTACACCGATCAAGCGCAGTGCCACATAGTTCATACTAGTACCGAAGACGGAACTGTGACCTTCGATATGCAGACCCCATCCACCGTCCTCTGGATGCTGACGGGCAAACAAATAACGCTTGATCTCCGTTGCATACTCCGGGGGAATAGGGGTATTGGTCACATAGTAAGTGATCAAAATACCCGGCAGCAAGAACATGGGGCCACCATACTCGCAGGCCCAGTTTCCGGGCTCCAGTTGCAGGTGCGAGAAGAATGAAAGTCCATTCTCGGCGGCTTTCAATGGAGTCTTGGCTTCTGGCAGCTCCGGGAGACCCTATAATGGACCGTTAGAAATGGATGAATTTTTTGAATTTTTTTGTCAATTGAGTGAGATTAAAATACCGTGGGAATTCCCAAGTGATATTTATCAGCTATTGACTGCGGCCACTCTTGGTTCTCCACATCTGATTCAAGGTACCGCCATGTTTGACGGCCTTCCTCATCGACCAATCGCCAGCGCGAGTAGTCGGTTTTAAGATCTCCATTGGCATCTGGGGTAAGGTGGCCCTCGTCTGGAGTTCTCCATGGCCCAATTTGAGGAGTAGAAGACATGATATGAGGAATAGGGTCTTTTCGCCAATCCAGCAAAGACATTAAACAGCTTGGAGAGTCCAGGCGCGGGTGCCCAGAAACCGGGGAAGCTTAGTCATCGGTATCACGACTGCGGTGTAGAATGAAGAATGTTGAACATCATGTGATGCCAGGCAGATGAGCTGATCGAAAAAAGAAAGAAGAGGATGTTGAGGATTTCAAGAATTCTCTGATCAAGAGATAGGGGACCTAGGAGGCGTGGTGATTTTGTTATGCGATGGTGTAGTCCAGTGTTGCTCTATGAACTTCATGGACCTTAAACCTCAAGGGAAAGGGAAAAGGAAAAGATAGTCAACAAAACCAAAAGAGATTGTTCGGAGTATAGATGCTCATCGCAAGAAATTTTAGACATGATGAAGATATGGAGGGAATGGGAATCTTCAACATAAATAACGACATCTAGTAAGCAATTTCTGACTTCTATAGATCCTAAGGTCAGAAGAAGTCAAAGGCTTCATTTTTACTAACCATTGATCGAAAATTTTATTGATAATAGTCACTATTCTTTAAATACATTATGAATACATGGATACTAATGGAAAGCGCCTTGTAAGCTCTTTGGGCCCAGGTGGTCCACAGATAGAAAGGTGTTGCATCTACTCGCGGTCCTTTAACCCCAGCACCACCTCGCCGTACCTCCATGGCAATGGCTGAGCCTACAACCATCCACACGTTGGAGATGGATGATGATCGAGATCCCTCAGTCCAAGGGTTCATCAACAACACCCTCGCAGCCTTCGTACACGGACTCTCACAGTCCCCGACAGAAGCAAACATCTCCATCACTCTCAAACGCAGAGCCAGCCCAACTGCTTGCGCCATCAACACCCTCACCGGGGCATTGGAACCGATTCCGAGAGTTGAGACGTACAGGAAATACTCTTGGCCAGGAAAGACGGCACACGAAGCCTGGAAATTTAGTACGATCTTCCCTTCTAGCATAATTCAAACACCACCTAAGCATTCTTCCTGGATAACAAACTGACCGAGTCTGCGCATTCTGATAGCCGTGATCCTTCGAATCCTAGCTATATTGGACCAAGCTATTCGAACAGGCCAGTTGATCTCCAAAAGGTAAGCTGGTAATGTTCAGGAATCAGTCTAAAAGGTATGCTAACAATAATCACACAATCACTAGAGATATATACTACATCGATCCGGAGTTCTTCCGCGTGCAGTACATCGTGGACCACATAGTTGATGACCTGGCGTACACCATTGGAGTGAACAGAACGGCATTGAATGTGGTTTGTCCTGCCGAATCTTCTGGTATCACACCACTACGAGGTCGGGCTGCTGACATCGAGAGCCGCTTTCTAGGAAGCGGCAGCAAAAGGACTGGTGACGGGAGACTATCGGTTGATCCGAGGCTCCCACATTTTGATCGATGCACACTCTGTCATTGAGGACAGTTTAATTCCTCGCATAGAGAACGGAGACAAGATTGATATCTCGCGCATCCGCTGGGTACTGGTCATCGAGAAAGAGGTATGAAGCAAGGAGACCACACATGCAGCATCAGTACGCTGAGCCTCTATCCACAGGCAGTCTTCCACCGGCTCGCACGAATAAGTTACCACACCAGAGCACTGGCAGGGGAAGGAATCATGGTCACGGTAGGTTGCGTGTCTGCTATAACAAATATTGTAGTCCTCTAAGCGAGCACCTGAGCTCAATGCTACTCAAATAGGGCAAAGGCTATCCCGATTTCATGACACGAACCTTCCTGCGTGCAATTTCCGACTCCGCATCCAAGCAGAGCAGAAGTCAGCCCCGTTTCTATGCCCTTACCGATGGTGATCCCCATGGGATGGCCATCATGTCGACGTACAAGTACGGCTCGGCGGCACACTTGCACCAAAATGCTCGGCTCAGCATACCGAGGCTGCAATGGTTGGGTCTTCGAGTGACAGACATCATAGCAGTTCCGGAGGTACTTGGTGACACGGCTCTTCTCTCGTTGACGATGCAAGACCGCAAGAAGATCATGGCTATGCTTCGGAACAGTCCTGTCTGGGCTAGCGACGGACCGGAGCCAGAGTGGCGTGCTGAATTGCAGCGGATGATGATTTTGAACCTGAAGGCGGAGATTGAGATATTATATGGGTGTCAGGGGGGTTTGGAGGGGTGGATTAATCGGCGTATGTTTCGGCAGGAGTAAGATGCTGTAGAATGTGTATAACTAGGAAGGTATAGATGTATAGACAACATACAATAAAGACAAAAACGATATACTATAATACTTGCCAAGCATCTCCAATACTTGAGCAGAAGAACAATGGTAATACTGAAGCATATGCAAGATTTAGCAAGCCAATAGAGGAGAAAGAATAGTGTGTCGGGAGAACAGCATGTATTTCATCCGCTGTCATAATGCGAAGATAGGAATGCACTGTACAGACCGAGAAGACATTGCATGTCCAGACCATGCAAAAGAAAAAGAAACCCTTGGAACGCCATTCATCAAAGCTTGACCCCCGCGCAGAACAAGCAAACCGTATTAACTGCCATCCACCTGTGCAGCAGCGAGGAAATTAGGGCATTCATCCTCAACCCAGCCTGGCTCACAGACCCAGACCCTTCTTCACCTCATCCCTAACCTTCTGCTCGTACTCAGATCTCCGCTCGCGCCACATCTTAGCAGCCTCAACATTGGCCGGGCTCTCGTCGTTCGGCTCGGCAAGCATACTCATAACAGAGATGAGGATCTTCTCCACACTCTGGATAGGTGACCAGCGCTCCGAGGCGTGCTCGTAGTGGTTTGGGTCGTCGCCAGGGGGATGAAGGATAGAGATGCAGACGGTTCCGTTGGGATAGACTGTAATCCAAATTGATCAGTCAGATGTTGACCATTGTGTATTTTGCAACGCAAGCAAGTAGCCGCAAGTCACTTCTGAGTTGTCTAGGGTCACGTACCATTTGGGTGCCACACGCCTCCTCCGATGAATTTCATTGTCGGCGGGCTCAGGGGGTAGTCTCTTGGGAACTTCAGCTCCGCTGCAAAGACACCGCCCTCGAAGGGAGTTTCTTCTGGGCCCTGGATCAGGGCTTCCCAGTAAAACATGTCGTCTTCGGAGACGGGGCCTGCGGTGATACCCTCTGGTGGGTTGGTGGAGAGGTTCTTGTATTCATGAAAAAGGCGCTTCTGGGCGACGGAGGACGCCATTTTCCCCTATTTAATCGATTCAGACGCGAGATGTGAAGCGTGAAACACTTAGGTGGCGAGGTTGTCCGGGGCGCTTGGGTGGGATGAAGGGTGGGGATGGAATAATTCCGGGGCGGTGGACAAATCGTGGCGATGCCGTCGGGGAACCTGGATTAGGGACAGAGATGGAAAAATGCGATTGAAAAAGTGCTCTAGTGAAAAGCTACATTTTTTGGTTTGAGACTAAGTATTATATCTAAATTGTGAATGTTATAGTACAAAAACCGGCCCTCTTCACCAGTCAAAATAATCACCCCCCTCCTCCCCATCACCAATGTCACCTCCCTCGTCACCCCAAGAACCATCTTCACCCCAAGGATCTTGAGGTCCATCCTGGAAGCCGTGTGAGTCTGGTTTCACCGGCTCCGACACTGAAGCATTTGGATCGGCCGTGTTGGCTCTCTGCATTGCTTCATACCCAGCCATTGCACCTGCGGTGGTAGCACCTGAAACCATACCATTGGGCGCACCACCGGCAGTTCCAACTCGCTCTAGAGTTTCTGCAGCGACTCCACCAGCAGCCGCAACCTCACTGGCGGCAGCGCCTTCTGCAGCTGCACCGCCAGCGGGAGCCTGGCCGCCCATGCCGAAACCATACGGCGGAAAGCCAAATGCACCATGGCCGTGTTGGCGGCTGAAGTAATCAAAATCAATACTTACAGCTGTAGCCAACATAACAGCACGTTGGTCGAGGGTCATGCCTAAGGTTTTGTTGTTGTGTGACGTCTCGCTGCAGAGAGCTGCGGAATCCATTCGCATGGCGTAGACACCAGTGTCTGTGAAAATTTCGCGAGCGAAGCCTGCGAAATTGCGATTGACGGATCCGATTGTTTGAGCATCTGCTGATTTTAAGGAGAAATCCCATGAAAGAAAGGGCTCATCAACGTAGGCAAATTGGTTGAATTGGCCCTGGTTTTGGTCGACTAGTTGCATCTGCTGTGCTGGTGACAAACCAGAGTCAGCTATCGAGACATCACTGGTTCCCATGTCTGTTTCCATGTTTGGCGACTGGTGATAGGTGAAGAGATTGTATTTTCGCCGCAGAGGTGCCCACTGCTGCTGGGCTTCGCCGATAACTCGCATTTGACCGAGACCAAGTGGGGATATCCTTGCACTCGATCTGGTGCCAGGCTCAATGAGAGAACCGGGTGTTGTGCTTTGAAGAGAGGTGGATGCCAAGTGAGCATTTGGCGTTTGATCAAGAGGATCATAGACGTGGATCTGAGAATTGATCCAAGAGAACGGGCGATTGAACTGCGATGATCAGCCAAAAGGGAATCACACCAATTGATGGCCTTTCCATTTGAGCTTACACGAAGAACTTCATTTTCTTGTCGGTCAAATACATGTGTCACAAAACTTCGGTGGGTATGGAACCATTGCCGTGCCATTGTATTTGCCAGTCCCTTATCCTGTTCTGCCATATATCCAATGTGGATTCCCTGCGCATCCATTATGACATACTTATTCGCTTGTTCAAATCCACTGAGGGAGTCAACACACATACTTCTCTCAGGTAGAAACTCGTGCGGCACTCACATCAGAAAATTCATCATCTCGAGCTCTCGCTGTACGACTATTCCTGAGTTTGCCAGTATTGAGGTTGCCGGGTGATGTTCTTTAAGCACACCTTTGGGATCTTCTGGCACGTAAACGGGAGAAAGGAGAGTGTTTAACGAAGGGTCATAATTGGGACATGTGGCATCTTGGAACTCAGAGGCAGCTGTCCCAGGATGTTGCACAGGTTCGGCTTTTCTCGAAGTCTGGATGAGACTTGGTCTTCTTCTGCTATTGCGAGGACCACGCTGAGATGCATGAGTTTTGAAGCTTGAAAGAGCTCGAGTTCGAGCTGGTGCCCACTCTTTTTGCAGGGATCGGAGTCTTAAGCCCCACATGGTAGCTCAGAGATTCCGGTTTGACCTGGAAAAAGATTGAGGTAAAATGTTGAAGGAAAGCGAAGTTTGTAGTAGTCCGCACACTCCACCGCCGAGACTCCGATAAACCGATGACGGAAGGTCACTACGGAGATAAGCGGAGATAGCAACGGCAGATCCTTTGCATGTCGTTTGCTCCAACTTGACTCATCGGACTCTATTTTCAAGTTAATCAGCAAGATTTCAGGTCACTTCGTTACTTGATTTTCCATTGCTTGTGAAATAGTACTGACAAGTGCTTGTCCAGACGTGGAGAATCGTATTTCAAGCGACTTTGCGCATCCATATAGATAGTAGACCAAGATGGGCATGTCTTGGGTAGAATTACCAGGTTGCATATGAGCATGTAGGCAGTCTGTTTCCATGTACGAAATAAGCCTTCTGCTTTTAGAGGATATCTGGGCATTTCCAAAAAGGATCCACAGGATGGAATCTTGTCAGATTAATCCGTTCATCGGCACCAAGCTTTATGACCTGACCTCCCCCAAAGCAGCTACATACAGACCATGTGATAAAAAAAACATCATATACGCAGTCTTCACAAAAATCCCTTACGTGCCAATTCGATTTTCCGCGCAGCTTCACCTGCCTTGAACCCTCCCTTCGACACGCAAACGGCACTTCCTTCTCCAAGTTCAACTTTCTCCTCAACATCAGGGTGAGGGCACGGGCAGTGATGTGGGAAGTGTACACAAGCAAGAGTTCCAGGGCAGAGGTAGTGGTCGCATTGTGCTGTAACAAAAGATCAAGGAGGTCAGTGATGTGGTCACGAGGGCAACGTGAAATTGCGACAGCGCAGTCTCAGTCAAAGAAGCTATTTGAGTCTTACCTCCACTCCACATCTGCTGGTACCGATCACTATCGCTGGGAGCGTTCTGCGACCGCTGCTGTTGGCGTTGTTGCTGCTCGCCGCCTCCGAACATCTGGTCAAAAAAGTTGAATTGGGCCTGAGCGACGGACACAAGAAGCAGAAGAGCCCAAAGGGCTTGGCGCCAGCTCTGCAACATAATTTAATTTATTGCACCGTCGGTGTTTGCAAAACGATCGAGTGTGTAGAAAGTAAGCCAAGTTCGAGTAGTGTACTCCGTATAGATGAAGCCAGTTTACGGGTACACACGTGACGCCAAGCCTGATCTCCGAACGAAAAACTTCCCCTTTGGAGCTTCACGATCTACACCTCCAAGCAATCCGATTATAACCCACCATGTTCAAGCCGCGAGTGCTAACGCCCCTGCGGGCACTGGAGCGAGCCTTTGCCCCGACAATCCGGTCGACACCCGCACTCTCGCAATCGCAATCCCTTCTGCGAACCCTCTCCGCAACATTCACATTCCCGAAATCCACACCAACACCCTCACTCTCCCGCGCACTCCTCCCATTTACACAAGTGCGTCACGCCTCGCACGCCTCGCAAGGAACGGCCAATCGACACTCACGTGACCCGGCCGGTAAGCGCCTCGGAGCCAAGCGCTCTGGCGGCGAGTACGTGGTAACGGGATGTATCATTTTCCGGCAGCGAGGCTCGCTATGGTTCCCCGGTGAGAACTGTGGGATGGGACGGGACCACACAATCTACGCAACACAGTCCGGCTACGTCCGCTACTACCTCGACCCGCTGAAGCACCCGAAGCGCCGGTATATCGGAGTTGTTTTCGACAAGGAGGAGCAGCTCCCGCACCCGCGCAATGCTCCCAGTCGGCGCAAGTTGAATATGACTCCTGTGCCAATGGCAGAACGCGTCGAGGTCCAGTCTGATCTCGTTGCTTCTGTTGATGAGAGCGGTCTCCGTGTGACGAATATCGAGGCTGTTGAGGCCAAGTCTGGCCCGCAGTTGCGTCCCGGTTACATGTACCGTGAGGCCAATTGGGAGATTGGTCGGGCTGCTGAGAAGGCTGGTATCACTGCTAAGCCCCATGATCGCGGTAACCGTTGGTTGGCGTGGAGGAAGCGTCAGCAGAGAGCCGAGCGGGCTGCTCAACTGAAGAGTTTGAAGGGCAAGAAGAAGACGGCCAAGAAATGAGTGCATTTGCCGTGTGCATGACGTCTTGTTCCAATAACTTCTGGGTTTCTGTAGCGATATGAGGATTTGTATCTGGTGTTCACTGTATTATAGGAAGAGCATTTACCATCAAGTTTTCCACGTGTACTATTCATTTTCATTTTTGGGGGACACGTCCGCACGAAATTGCCATGTAGAAAGAAGATCATGTACTATGGCATCCTGAAGTATAAAGCGTGCCTCCCACACTTGACGTCAGCTCAGCCCAGCAAAACCAAATAAGACGATCTACTATGTAAATGTCAATCTATAAAATCTCTCAAGTCAATGGATCCTTTTCTGTGTCCGACTTTGAATCTAAATTAATGTCCTTGGGAATACTGGATAATATCCGCCGCGATCTTCTCGGCAAGCATGTCTGCGACGCAGTTAGTACTTGGAAATCAAAGCAGTGACCGAGAGAAACATACAAACCGTCGACTGAGGATGACCAGGAGGAAGGAAAGGAAAGGCGCTAGCGTCAACTACTCGCAGTCCGTCCACTCCGTAAACCCGGGCCTGGGAGTCAACCACAGCCATGCCGTCATCGGGCGTTCCCATCTTGCAAGTACAACCCGGATGCCACAGAGTCATCAAATTATCCTTGATAAATTCAAGGATCTGATCATCGGACTGGACCTGCGGCCCGGGGTTATACTCCTGGCCGATGACCACAGGCTCCATGGCTTCACTCTGAAAAGCCTGGCGTATTCGCTTGAATATGGCAATGGCAACTTCTTGATCAGCCTGATCATCGAGCCAGTTGGGATTTATAACAGGTAGATAGGAGGTATCTGCCGACTGTATCGTGACATTTCCTCGGGACATGGGTGTAATCAGAACACCGAGTATGGAGGCGTACTGGTATCCATCTCTTGGCTGGATTGTTAGGATGTTTGACGCGTTCCCGACATACCCTGCGCCAGAGATGTACTATAAATCTTCACGTTAGTAACCTTTTTCTCCATACAAGGGAATATGTCTCTCACCTCTGCTTCAGGCCAGTCGGATGGAAAATTGTCCAATTTACTCTGCGTTTCCTCCGAGAAAGCCGAACGCAAGAATCGCGGAATCTTCTCGAATGCCAGAAAATCCGCAATTGGATTCTTGATGGATCCTGTCTTGGAGATCAGTCCTTCAATAATTTGGCCAGCTGCGTATAGCAGGTCGGTGGCAATCCTAGTGAATGTTGTCACCTGGACTCGGTACGAAGGCGCAAAGAACGGGTGATCCCACATGTTCTGACCGACTCCTGGTCGACCGGCTATAACTTCGATTCCATGTTCTTCCAATTGTTCGATGGGACCAATGCCAGAAACCATGAGGAGCTGGGGGGACTGGAAGGCACCGGCAGATATGATAATCTCTTCCGATGCTGAAAGGGTGACGATGTTGCCCAGCAAACCTTTCACTTGAACTCCTGTTGCTTTTTTATTTTCATCGAAGACCACCTTCTTAGCAAGGGTATTTGTATAGGTTGTCAGTGACTTTGGCGTGATCTTGGATAAGAAAGATTGCTCAGAGCTGCTTCGGAGCTCGTTGGATGGATCGATGGTCGATGCGCAATATTGGGCTCCCATTATACCACCCCGGTTAAAGTCCTGTACTTTCTCAATGCCGATAGCTTCCATACCGAGGCTCATCCATGACGAGAAAGGTTCGGCGAAGTTAGTATACGACACCTGCAATGGACCACCATCCGAGTCGTAGGCATCGATGCCATAGCCCGCGGATGCATTTTGAGCTCTATATTCGGTGTTTGGGGGCGTGAACTGAACGCTCTTTTTGTAGAATGGGAGCACCTCATCAAATCCGTAGCTGCTGTCATTAACTGCAGTCGCCCATATCTCCATGGACTCGCGTGTCGGACTACAATATCCAGGTTAGTCAAGCCGGCCGCAAGCACTTATTCTCCACGGGGGTTTACCGTTGATAGATCATAAAATTTAATGCTGACCTGCAGAGAGATCAGTTTAATTTTTTTTTCTGGTATGCCAGATCCGGAAGGAGACACCTACGATCCCCCGAGACATTTTCCTCGGGTGAAATGAATCGCCCGCCTATTAGCACCTGGTTGATCCCTTGTTACAAATCCCCAATCCACCGGCGATTGGAAAGTAGGATCTGATGCTATCGACAACGCATCAGATGCAGGAAACTCGGCCACAGATTCAAGCTCATAGTGGCCCCCGGCTTCAATCAAGGCCACTTTGAAGTCATTCTGTGCTAGTCGCGTTGCGATCACACTCCCAGCCGTACCGCCCCCAACGACCACATAGTCAAACGTTTGGTCGGCAAGGGGAATCCCGTGCCGTGCTGAACGTGCAGATGCGACGCTACTCGCCTGGAGTGTGAGGAGTCCTAGAGTGGTGTGGAACAACATCGGGAATAATGGTGCAACTGCTGGGTACTTAGGGCAAGATCCGGCTGTATGTTGCAGCGAAACAGAGCTGAAATGTGCAGCTCTCAACCGGACTTTGGCGACTATGTTGTATTGTACTAACGTAGGCAAATCCCCGGATCTTCCAGCCTCGTGATAACATTCGGGGCTCACTAGAATAAGAGACCGGGTCCAATCCACAATCCAACCTCCCTTGACCGGGTGCCCAGATATGTAACCTATGTAACCCCAAATGTGCAGCTAGCTGGATCATAAGCAGAGCAGCGGCCCGCCAATCATTGAAAGTCCGTTCGGCTTGATCAAGACGTTACATTTTATGTGAGGAAATCACAACAAAAACAATCCCTCCGAGAATGTTGGATCCTCACTTCAGCTACCTGCTTTCGACGCGTGATACTCAGCTGCACCATGCGTAAATAATCCCCCAACGGTCTACGAGAATGACTTTTTTTGTAGCCCAAGCCAATTAAGGTGTTATGCTGAGATTCAAGATTCTGATACAAATGGACCACATTTGCAAAGTGAGATGAGATATCTCACTACACACACTCCATGACACGAGGCCCCAAGCACTTTACTTGGCAATCTCATTCATCTGAACGTAAGGAAATAAGCATCTTGCTAGCTATAGGAGAATTGTGAAGCTAGAATTGAGGTATAGGAATACTTGAAACCGTCAAATCTGACACTGCTCCAATCGCGACGTATGCTCACGCTATGAAATGTCCGTGCGAAATAACCTCAACCCCTGATTAGTGATGCGATTCGGTGAGAACAACCGCTTGAATTTTCGTAGACCCCCGGGAGTGGCTTATCATCTTCTCCCATTCACATTTGTCAAGCCTGTTCAACATATTGAGGGGGGGGGGGGCCCATCGAGGTCTGCTAGACGTAGATATCTCGTTAAAAGGAGCACAAAGCAGAAGTAAATACACATGCCATGAAGAACCCGTTGCACAACCCGCTGCCTGCCTCACTATCTAGTATTATCCCCCGTGCCACTGCCACTCACCTGGCTGATTCCAAACTGACCATGTTCCACAGGCGAGTGCAAAAAAGCCGCTGCGATTATCGAATCCTTCATCAACCCGAGCCTCAAAATCGATGGGCAAATTCCACGTAAGATATTCGCGGGGGCCAAGGTAAGAGACTTCCTACTGGAATGCAGATCAACCGGGCATGACTTACTCTAGGCTAGGGAATCGCCGTATTCACAGAGCTCAAACTTGGATTCCTAGGTTCGATTCGCTTTGGTTCGGGGCTGATCATCGCGCGTCTCCCAGATGGCGGCTGGTCCGCCCCGTCAGCCATTGGCAATGGGCGGCGTCGGGGCCGGTGGTCAATTAGGCGCAGAATTGACAGATTTCATATTTGTCCTGAGAACCGATTCCGCAGTGAAGACATTCATGCAGTCGGGGAATTTGACTCTTGGCGGGAATCTATCCATGGCGGTCGGGCCCATCGGTCGGAGTGCCGAGGCGGGGGGAGTAGTGGGCATCAAGGGCGCAACTGGGGTATTCGCCTACTCCAAGACCCGTGGATTGCACAGCGGAGCTACCATTGAAGGTGGTGTTCTAGCAGAGCGGGCAGATGCAAACAAAAAGCTCTATGGGCGGAAGATTCGGGCAAAGGAGCTGCTGAGCGGATTGATTCCACCACCGCCTGAAGCGAGGGTCCTTCTTGAGGTTTTGAATGGGGACTTCTTCCGTATCGAAGGAGCTGTAGAACCAGCCTCGGAGGACCCCGAGCAATTGCGCCAGCAAAATACTGACACTGCTGTGCAAGATCCCAATGAGCAGTCACCGGGAATTGTGGCGGTTGCTGCTAATCCGTTAGCAGTTGTCGAGCCAAGTACAGAGCAAACACTCCGAACTGCGCCAACTACTGAGTTGGGTATCGAGGAAGTAACTGGAGACGCTGTCTCATCCGACAACACTACCGACGATACACATACGTCAAACTTACTAAAGCCTATATCTCTACTACTGAGCATGTTTCGCCCGTGGAGCAGAGCACAAAATCAGTACCGGAAGGCATTGAACCGGCAGCTGGAGACACGCACATCTCTCGTGAGCCTGATGTTCCGTCTGACAGCAAAGAGACCACTCCCAGTATGGCTCAATGAGGAAGCAAAGTTCTGTTCGAATTACGTTGTATTGACCTTCTTCAAGAGTAGATAGATGTCCAGAATAAGATGCCAAACTACGGCGCATAGACCAGAGTACCTCACTGATGATCGAAGGGATCTTCCGCACTCGCTTTACCATTCCAATTCCGAAGATTCTGTCCAGAGTCCGGTGGTTTGATCATTTCTCATGAGGCTGACAGACAGTTAGGGTAGCCTGGTCCTTGTTCAGCGCAGTATTGACGATGTAGTTCTTCAAAAATGCCCAAGGTAGACCCACTGACTGGGAGAGAGTAGAGAGATATGAGTGTCGGAGGTGAAGAGATATGATGACCGAGATGTGATATCAGGCAGATAGAAATAAACAGCAGAAAAGAGAAGAGGAGAGTGAGGCTCTTATGGCGCAAGATCACTTTCTCCAACTGGCATGATAGGCCTACAAGACCTATGACGGTCTCTCTTCTTACTGTCAGGTTTGCAGTTTCCGGGCAGCACGCGGTTTTGGTTGGAGGTCTCACTGGTGTTGACTAGGATAATCCTAGATATTTTCCCCACTCAGTTCACCGATCTCAGATTTGAAATGTGTGCGATGCTGGATTGCTTGCGAAACATTTCCCTAACCACCTGTCTACCTGGGAATCTATTGCTCTGGCTCATCATCCTTGCTTTAAATTATAGCCGACAAAGGAGGCTATTCTGCAAGTTGTTGCAACCGTTTCCCCAAGGGGTTGAATTTTGTGATTGAAAGACAAAGAATCGACTACAACATAGGCTCCATGCAAGGTAGAATAGTCCGCATGGTTCTAAAATTCCCTTGCCCTGCACGGTGTCTGATATCTATGCATCAGCATGACACCACAAGTCATCCTCGGGCCAGGTGGTCAAGCTAGCTTATAGAGTGTGTAGTCTGATCCATTAAAGAGATATGATAAATTAGATTGGTATCAGGAAATAGCACAAGAAATCACTCCTCGAACAATCGACCTAAAATCAAGCTTTGACAAACAAATTCATTACCGACAACCCTCGCAGTACATCTCAGCTCACATGGGGGTGTAGGAGTGGACAATGCAATCGACTTCCTACGCTTCTTCCCATGGAATAAGTGAAGTCTCTGCGTCTTCGGTTTGGGCATCAACATCGACTTTGCTGCGGCTTGATCTGCGTCGTCGACGTAAATCCAGTCCCAGTTACTTGACAGACCAGCATCAGAATGCGATTCAATCAATGCCCTGGCGGTGCCGAGATCAGGAACCCGCTCAACCCGGGAAGCTCCCAGGGCGTAAGTCAGAAAGATGTAGGCTTTCCTCTTTTCCTCAACCTTTCCACGGCCCATAATAAGGAGCACTGATTGCCCTGCGAGCAGCTTTGTTCGTGCAGAGATGGTGTCGGCGAGACGGGCCGTGGATGGAGGGTTGGGAGCCATGACTCTGGATTTCGTCGCTCCGTTGAGGTACATTGAGTCACCAGCTGGGAGGAGGTAGATCTCCCAATCGAGGACCCGACCTTGGGCGATACAGTCCTCTACCCATCGCCCGGCCAGGCATGGGAGATTCAATGCCAGAGCTTGCATGTATTTTTCTCGCCGAGAATGGGTATCGGCAATTAAACAAGCAAAGCCAACGTCATCAGCAAGAGCAGTGAGACGAAGACCCTTGTTACTGAGGTCTGCGTTTTTCGCTTCACCCTTGGTAGGAGTATCAACAGGAACAATTGACGAAGGCTCGAACAGCTCAGTAAATCCATCATGCAATACAGTGCCGCCATTCTCGATGATCAACCTAGTCACACGATTCTTAGATGCCTCGTCCTCCTTGTAAGAAACGGCAAAAACCATCCCAGCGAAGATCCCGCTGCCTTGTTGAATGCTGCGGGACAAGCGAGAACTGGGCGAAGCAGGCGCAGATGACCTTTCGGATGGGGTATGGACCATGCTCTCTTCTAGAATAGGCGCCGGGCGATATGTGAACATCCGATCTTTGAGTTGGTTCCACAGGATAGTGTCAAGATAGACACGAGCGATAGGCACTTTAATCACATTCTCGCTATTGCCCATCCTTCCATTTGGCAGGCTTTTGCGTTGCTTGGGACCGACTATGACAGTGGTATGACCATAAATGTCGGTTATAGGATAGAGACCATCGTCGGCGGCTTTAGCAAGCTCTTCTCTGGTGAGCTTGTCATCGAATCCGCGGACGATATGGGTGACTCTGGGAACATGATCCATTTCGATTTTGACAGAGTCTCCGACACGAAGCTCAAATCTCTTAACGGCACCCTTTGGCACTTCGACAGGAAGACTATCCTCGAATTTCACAGAGTATTTAACCTGTGATACGCCCAGTGGTGTTCCAAAGCATGTCGCTGGATAATATGCCCGTTTCTGCCCCATCCAGACAGAAAGGACCTGACTTGGAGCAACCACAGAGTTGTCCGATAAATTGTGAGATGGTAGAGGCGTGGTAGGGGAGTCATCAACACTGTTCACCTCTGGCTCAATGATATCATCCGAGGCAATAGTTGTTGAAACCTCAGTGAGTTGTGATGATGGAGGTGGTGGTCGACTATGAACGACAACCTTTGGCGAGGGTGCTGATCTCGCAGTAAGCCCGGAGCTCTTCTCTGGAACGTGCTTCTTTTGTGTAGGCATCGAAGTAGCTGCCTTGCCCATTCTTGATCTCCTGCGGAACGGCTGTTCAGGTGAACCCTCGATTTCCCAAACATTCTCGGCGGCTCGTTGCGGGAGCTTGGATTGCCTTCGCACGGCTTTTTCGGGGAGTTGCACCAAAGGCACATCATCCGAATCCGCAAGATTAGGAGTTGATCGTTCGTGTGTTGCTCGAATGGGTGCAACGGATTTTGGTGGCTGTATACGAGGGGTGAGAGGTATGATAGGGTCGGAGGCAATATAACTCGAGCCATCATTGCCGCGCCGCTTCTTCTTCGGTCGAGTCGGCGATCCATCAATCAAGGCTCTGAACTCTTGATCCTCAGTGGTAAAGATCCCAATTCCCAAATCAAATCCCCCTGCACCAGCCTGCGGCGAAAGATCTGCCGCAATTTCAGTCAAAGCCCTGCGTTGGCCTCCACCCGGACTGGACAACAGTTTTTTCAAAGGCGAAGAGAGTGCCCTTGTCCCAGCTGGGCGGAAATGGTTCTTTCGAATACTGGGGAGTTCTTTGAACATAGGTGGAAGATCGTCGTCTTCGTTGTTCAGCCCATCTCCAATGGACCCAGCCTCGGAATTGCATTGGGAGTGACTAGGACTTGTTTCTGGGATACTCGTCAATCGAGCCAGATCACCGATGTGCTTAAGACGCTGATTCATAGGTGTCTCAGCCACGCGGGATGGCATTGATGATGAGGTGCCTGCAGTTCCCGCGTCCACTCTTGAAAGCGACGAATTTAAATGTCGCTGCTCCAAGGGGTTACTGGAGTGCGTTGGAACGTTCTCGTTAAGGGATGCTTTCTGAACGGTTTGACTTGCAGGTTGATTTGACACGGAGCCATTTCTCTGGGAATTGCTATTCGAATGCCTGGATTGTGGTCGCGAACAGGGAGAGGATGATTGAAGACGGTGTCGTGTGGAAGAATTCACATGAGAGCGCGAAGGCGACCGAAGAAACATGCTCCCAGTGTTGTCGGCTTCTATGCGTTTTGGTGATGATTGAGGTGATGGTTGAGAGTCTTTTACCATGGCCTGGGAAGAATGCAGGACACCGTTCGGCTGACCACCATTGTGAGAGCCGAAGGAGCCTCCATGAGCTATCCCATTCCCCAGCTCTTCATCTACTCTCACGCGGGATGGAGAGGGAATTGGCTCAAACCCAAGTACCTGAGATAATCGGTCGTGGGCACTTGCAGCAGCATCTAGAAGAGGACCGTCGAAGTTTTCTTTGTCTTCTTCGGCTGAAGACTGGGGAAGTTCTTGTGACCGGGGTACTTGCATATCGTCTTCTTGTTCGGTTTCATCATCGCTGGCAATGGCATCTATCATTTCAGGTTGTCGTTCAACTAGCTGCTCAAGAGAAGTCTGTGGTCTGGCCGAGAGATTGGATGTAGATCTGGCAGGCGCACTCAGGCCAGCGAATTGAGCCGCAGCTTCTTCCTCAATTTCTCGCTGCCGTCGTGCACGTTCTATGAAACTCGACTCCTTAAAAAATTCTTTGTCACTCTGATCCGACTGGAAATTGTCGGCCGACCGAGTCAACCTCTCCCCCAAAGTCCTGTCGCGCTTTGTCTGCGATTCCTTCATTGATATATAATTCATATTCGGCTCGGATGATTCCCTCATGAACTGAACCGGGAAGCCCATCAACGGCGATGAGATACCATTAACAACACGAGCGGGCTGGATCGGGACATTGGGCGACGGACGATCCGACACAAGATCCGTCTGTAAGCCGTGGACAATTGGAGACGACGGGACCTGGGTAGCCCCGAAAACTTGGCTCAGGCCAAGAAGACCACCACTTGACTCTATGACACTGGCCAGGGGATTCCGCGAGATGCTCGGTGTTTCTGTTGTTCCATTATTTGTCTCGTTATTTTTCACCACTGTCCCAGGCGTTTCTGCTAGGAAACGTTGCGATTCGGGGAAGAGATCGGGTGCATATGTCATTGGAGAAGACTCGTTCGGATCGGAGACGCTCTCATCTTCATTGTCATCGTCATCTTGGGAGAGATTCGTTGTATGCGCGGCGTCGAATTCGGAAAGCAGGTCGATATGGCCGCTATCGCCCTCATGTAATGTCCTCAGTGTCGCTCCATCGGCTCCTGATTGAGAGTAACTTTGATGCATGGATTCCCCATTTTGTCTGATAATGCTATCATATACTGACTGCGAGACGACCTGAGTATCCCCAGGAGCAGCCTCTGCGGAGCTCATGTTGCCGAATTGCGATCCTAGTACCATACCCACTTCATTGCCACTCTTTTTGGACATCATTGAGCAAGATTCATGCTGCCGAGCTCGACACGGAGTGGGTTGGTGTTGGCGCACAAGGCTCGCGGGGTTTGATGGTGTGTTCGGAGGTAGGTATTCGCCGGTGCACACTTCGTCACCAGTGGAAGCACCGTTGACTTTGTGGTATGTGCAAAAAAGAGTGTGATTCGATTTGTTGACAGTTTTTGCAGGTCTCAAAAGGTACAGCTGAGATGGATCGTCCTCCTGAAATGTCCGGGTCAGTCCACTAAGGGCGAGAGACGCTGCAGGGTCGTTACATACTAGCCCCAACGCGTCGCGTTGCAACTTTGCAAGGTCGATGCTATCGTCCTGGGTTTCCATTTTTCGACCATATAGTCACTCAAGTGTAGTACGTCTTGACAGTAACAGTAGTGTTTGTATTATTCACTTCAACACAGTCTCATACTTCATGTGCCTTGCGCCGGGACATCAAGTCAGCGTCAGAACGCGAAACGCGTTTGTCACGTGCCCTGGAGCAATATTACCTCTTACGGACTAGCGCCACGAACGCACATTGAAACACTCGACAGCGGTCTACGGCATGGGTGCGGCCTTGTGGACATTCTGATTATTTACAAATCTATAACCGTTTCCTACTTGATTTGGAAGAAAGCTGGGCAATGAGACAATGTGATATCATAGATCACTATGCAAAGATAATACTTGTGCATAGTTATACAAGATTATGTAACTTGATTACAGAGAGGGTATCTGAAGCCCTCAACATTCCCCTCCTTGAGGGGACCCAAGAACAAACCAAGACAATCAATCACGAGTGCGGTTTGGAGTCCATCTCTTAATGAGGAACTCGCGCACCTTATATTGGCCGAACAGAGCGCCAATGTCATCGATTGAAGCAGCTGGCGGAGGCACTTCGACATAGCAAACGACCAAGCTCTTCAACACCTGGGCCTGCACACGGCTGACGCAGTGCATCCACCACCAACTCCTCGCCTGCTTTTCTGCAGTGTAGTTTTTCCGCTCTTGCGTCTCGGACCAATAAGAGTGGGAATATGAAGGAATGATGATGACTGCGAACTCGGCGTGGGAGAATACTGGTCCGCGATTGTAAAGCAGATAATCGGTTCCGAATTTGATACCGGAGCGTACAACCCACCCAAGGGACCGGAAGTGGTGATAGACGGCGTAGGAGGTCATGAAGGGATCATCTGGTTGGAGGGACGCAGAGCCGTCACGGGCAGGTTGGAAGGAGTGATGGCAGAACTTTTGGAGGAGCGCAGAGATGGTGGTTGGCGATGTTGTCTGGGCCTCCCCTGGTTTCAACGGTGAATCGTAGATTTGCAATGCTCCAAGCGAGTAGGCAAGGAAGAAGGCCTCCTCGTTTGAGAGTTGGAGATGCTCCTGATTTGGGAAGTCATCTGAATCGAGGTTGTCGACGACAGCATCAGGCAATTTTGAGGACGAGGGTGAAGTGGACTGGCATTCGTTCTTTTGGACGACTGATGAAAAACGCACGGATTTGCTGTTAGACGAGGTCTCAGACTGGATTTGTTCGGCGAGAACCGCATTTTGTGCAGCCATTTCGCGCGCCTGCTTTGCTTCCAGCGCACGAGCTTCTCTTGCCTTCTTCAAAGAGAATTTCTCCGTTGTAATCGCTGTGACATTAGTCGTGTCGTCTGTGGTCGTTGATTGGGCATTTTCGTCAAGAGGCTCAGAAGCAACAGATTCCCTAGCAGCCGCCTCGGCTTTAAGTGTTTCTTCAATAGCCAGCTTCTCCATCCGGGCACGCTCTAACTTCAGCTCACGACGTTCAGTACGTCGTAGTCTTGTTATCTCCTCGCTGGTCTTCTCATTATGTAACCCTCTTCGTTTCTTCTCTCGTGCTAGCCAGCTGGGTTCACTTCGACTGAGACTACCCTTGCCGAAGAATCCCATCTGCCACAAGGCATTAATGGATCTCTCGTCCGTAACATGGATCGATGAGGTCGCTTTGTCAAAGTAGGCATAATAGACTTCTTGGCGGGGCGGGGAGATGAGAAATGTGAGGTACGAGAGAGCAACACTTATAAGAGAAAGAGGGTTATGAGGAATTACAGGAGGAATGTGATGTACATTGACCGGAAGAGGAAACTGGTGAATCTGTCTGAAGTTTGGCCTAGGTGGTCGAGGAGCACGAGGCGGACGTGCAGGTGGTACAGGTTCTGACTTGATAGCCACAGGCTTGTCCATGCTGGTTACTGGACTGGTCATCCTGGAAACCGCTACTGGAAGACGAAGATATTCAAAGTCCTAAACACAAACTTCAAGGTTAGTGAATTGTGCTGAAACATGCAAGTGAATCAATCGTCGTGGTAATGTCTTCTCAGATACCGTTGTAGTCAATTCAGCGAATCATTGACAGGCAACTAGAAATCAAAGTGCCGCCTGCCTGAGCTAAATAAATGGTGTCATCACCGAAGGTGAAGATTGGGCTGAAGGGAAGAGGGTAGAAGTGGTGAGGATTATCTTACCTAGAAGTCTCTTGTTGATATGAACAACCTGAATCAAGCGTCAATTAGTAAATACACCATGGCTCTGCACATTAACAGAGCTCCAAGAGTCATTCAAAAGAATTTTTTCTCTTCTTTGCTCAGGTGCGAGAGAAAAAGGAAATTTTGCGGTCGAAACCTTTATTAAAAAGAACCGCGTGACTAAGCAGCATGGTCCGAGCTCTACCTCGTCGAGAAAAAAAATTCCTCCACTTATCGCCGACGCAAGTGTTAACACAGGACAATTCATCAATACCGCCAAGTAAGTTTGTAATTCGTGTTCGGAATGGTCTTTGTTGCTCACGTGCTAATATCACTTTTTCCAGAATGCATCTTATGGTATGTCTCATTGCGAAATCGAAGCGAACGAGTCTTCAGCTCCGTTCGGCGATCAGTCGCTAATTTTTTGACGAACAGTACACCCTCGACGCCGCCGGCAAGCGTGTTTACACCTTGAAGAAGGTACGGAAATTTTTGCTCTGGGGAGACTGCCGCTTATCAGCGGACAAGTGGCTCCCAGGATGCCATTTTCAACCATACCAACAACACTAACTTTGGGCAATCACAGGTATTGAACGGCGAGGTTACCAAGTCTGCTCACCCCGCTCGCTTCTCTCCCGATGACAAGTACTCTCGGTAAGTAGAAATTTCCCTGTACGTGGTGCACAATGGAAGCACTAGAAACTGACTTCTTTCCCAGTCACCGTGTTACCCTGAAGAAGCGTTACAACCTTCTCCTCACCCAGCAGGCCGGTACGTCGTATATCTCCTCCCAGAATTCTGCTTTCCTAGAAGTATTATAAACTGACGTTTTGCTATTCAGAGGCCCCTGTTAAGGCTTAAATGGATCGACACTGGGAAAGATGAATTACCGGGTGGCATAGCCCATGTTTTGGCGAATGGTGTTTTTCTTGCGGTCAACGGATGGCTGAGATGTCCATACTTGTTTTTCTATCCTTGGATAATCTATTCGGGGCTTCACCTAGACATTCTACAGAATACGATACCTGATCTAGGCAATCAACAAGGATTTTGTTAAAATGTTCATAAAGAGCCCTATGAATTGGCTTTTTTCTATGTTCAATCGTAAATCACAAGACAAGACATGGTCATTCCTCATAAAAAGGCCGACAACCACCATGACAGCGGCGTTGACCAAGTGAATTTTTTTTCCATGCCCCCAAAACTCCAGCCCATGTAATCAAGATGCAAAGTCATCCACGCCGCACATTTAGCGCTTCTTCGAGTTGACGTTGCGGCCAGCACCGACCTTAGTACGACCGCCAGCCCTATTGCGCTCGCCGGTCAAGATACCAGGCAGGTAGTCCTCGTCCATGAGATCACGCTCACGACGCTGCCGCCGCGCTTCTTCCTCATTGGCGCGGACATACTCCTTCTGATCTTCGGCAAGAACGAGCTCGGTGCCCCATCCTCGCTGGCCACCGCCGCCCTTCCATTTGCCGTTGGCGCTACCTGCGATCGGTTTGGGGACGCTGTATACATTGCCGCGCTTGTTCCACTGCATGTTCTTCTTCAGGTGCATTGTGAAAGCGCCGTTTGCAGTGGTCGTGCATGAGACACGAGTGAGAGTATCCTTGCCACAGCGAGGGCAGAACTGCTTGTTCATCTCCTTTGTGGTCAAGAAGCAGGCATGGCAGCGCTTGATGAAGGTTCTAAGATGTTGAATCTTCTGGAGGGTGGTGGTAGACAGAAGATTGAGGTTCATTTGCAGCAGAACATTTTGACACTGTACAGGATGAGTGAGTGGACGATAGAAAGATGTTATGGGGGGGGTACTTACGGCGAAATCCGTGGTCATCGTCGCAACCTGCATTGTCTTGGGCGCAGCAGTAAGAGTCGCTGTCCCCGACTCATCCTCAGCGAGACGCTTTTTGTAGTTTGAGGGTGTGATCCATTCTCCGTCATCAGAATCAGCAGCATCATCCGCATCCACATCTTCATCCTTCTCTTCTTCATCAGCAACCGCAACATCAACCTCGGCGATTTCGTCAGCATCGTTGGCTGCAGCAGTTTCTTTCTCCGTAGGAGACTCCTTCTGGACGTCTGTCACTGTGGTCTCTTTCACGCCCTCCGTAATGGCTTCCACCTCCGCGTCCTCGGGCTTGGCCTCCTCGGATTCCTCCTTAACAGGCGGCTTTCCATTGATTCTCTTCTGGCCAGGCACGCTTCTTAGCCGCCAATCTCCTTCATTCTTTTCGCACTCAATTTCGTAGGCAAGCGCGAGGACCTCAATATCGGTTCTACTCAGGACAGAACGGTCACCGGTTTTGCGAGCGAATTCGCTGATAATATTGAAGCTCTTGGGTGTAGGGGATCGCTGCTTTAAGAAAGGCAGGTAAAGGGTCTCAACGCGTGCGCGGGCATCGGGGTCGCGGATCTCGCTCACCACGGAGGGGGTGGTGATAATTTCGTCGCACTGGGCAAGGAGGGTTGAAAGCGGCGGGGTATTCTTGAGAATCGGGCCAGCGTCCAGCACGATTGTGTGGACAGGCTTCGTGGATGCGGCAGTAGTTTCAGCCATTTTGTCCTATTTGTTATGACTATTCCCACTCATCGACTATGAGAAAAGACGAGATCGTTGTCGACTTGAAAGGATTGGCCAAATTGAAATTTCTCTGTGAAGTGGCCTGTGCGTTCTTATCGGTCTATCTTATCGCATATCCAAATCTACTGGTATTTTTTTTAACGAGCAGTTTCATTTTGTACATGGAATTGGATATCAGAAAGCTTTGATTGTACAATTTTTCCTAAAATCTTGGTCTTCTGATTGCTATGCTGAATAAAGTTGTTTGAATTGAAGACAGGTTGGTCAAAATGGAGGGGATGAAGTCGATATGGTCAAACGTTTGTCGAATACTGTGGAACGAAAAATGGAGCATTTTTTTGCTAGACCCTACGTTGCAAGATGTGGTTAGAAACAGGATATTGAACCCCGGAGAGCTACGACCACGAAAGAAAAAACCCGAAGATGTACATTAAATTAGTCGCCGTTGTCGAAACTCATACAATACATGGTGGAAAACAGGGTGGAATTCCCGGAAAAATGAAAATCCACGGACCGCTATAATGGCGCAGTCTATGTTGTATACAAATTGTAGATTTTATTTAGTTAACCATGCCCACACAGGTTGGAAAAAGATTGGAATTTGTCATTTTAGGTAGTTGGAGAGGTTAGAGCATTTTAGGACGATCTACTGGTCGTCCTAGGCCTCGCCAAAACTCGCCCACCGCCCAAACCCGCCCGCGAAAACCCAGCCCATGGGCCGGGTTGGGTCTTAGTCAGCAAACCCGTGGGTGGGTTGTCATCCGGGAAACCCAACCCAAGACCCCAATGGGTACCCGCGATTACCCAAAAAAGCATAAAAGCTGACTGATCATTTTACACTAAGTTATGCAGTAATTTTCGACTATCTAATTGTTTCGATGGCGTAACTGATAGTTTCTAGCTGAGAATATTTGGAAAGGAACATGAAGAACACGACTTTGGGAGGACACTGAGAGGGTCCAAATCACTGATTTTAAATAATCGAACTAACGATAATTTTTGGAGCTCACTCGAAAGATTCTCAATTGATGAATTTACATAAAATGATCAATGTGGCCTGTAATCCCTTCAGATGTGTAAAGCACGGCGATGGGGGCAGTGATCTACTTGTAGAGAATATATATATCCAGATCGATGGCGCTCATTGTTTCAGTGTAACATCCACCCAAAAGCGTGACAGAAATAAATGACCAAAATTACATCAGATGACTAATCAGATTTATCTATGATTTATGCATGTTTTTGGGTATTTTGGGCAACCCGTGGGTACCCGCCAAGAACCCATGGGCGGGCTCATCAAGGCCAAAACCCGCGGTGGGTTGCCCATGGGCGGGTAACGTAATTGAAAACCCAACCCAAACCCGCGTTTGGCGAGGTCTAGGTCGTCCTATATATACATTGTTTAAACCATAGATTTCTGTCACCTACAACATAAAGAAGCCGGAGAAATAATAATCCATGTACCTTGGCACCTGGCCAGACAAGACGGTCCCTGAAAATGTAGGGAATCTGCTAGACCACGATATGGCAAGGAAACGACATCTTCTTCGACGAGAAGTCACATACGAAGATGTGAAAGATGAAGAGTTCAACATTCTCCACCAGCTTGAATTTCATGGTCAACAGCTTCAGTTTTTCACTCACCTCTGGGACAAACGCGACTGGATGAAAACCGTCGTTGCCCACCATCTCAACTTGGCATCACCATCTGCATGCGAAGTTTCAGGAGTCAAAGATTGGCTCTATGGTAGCTTCAATGTTTGTGTGCCGATCACTATCAACTATCAGCATAAGGCCCGGGTTCTTCTTCGATTCCCTCTTCCGTATCGTGTGGGCGAGGCCTTCAATCCTGGTAATGGTGATGAGAAAATACGGTGTGAAGCAGCAACCTATGCCTGGCTTCAAGAAAACTGCTCGGACATACCAATACCCCAGCTTTATGGCTTTTCTTTGTCGTCTGGCGAAGTGGTAGGTAGGAAATACAACATAGTCTCCACAAAATTGCTAACCTTATCAAGTTCACCTTTGCAGGCTGTATGCCATTGTTCTCTCGTTTTTACTTCCACATGCGTCGCCGCCTTTTATTGTGGCTAGGAAGACCTATTCCATCAAACTACACCCGCCATCAGTACCGAAACGCTATCTCCATTGATGGGCTGGCTGGTATCAGTACTGGTTACATTCTGGTTGAATTCGTCGATAAAACAAAAGGTCAAATGCTCTCAAATACGTGGAGCAATGGACGACATGACCCTATTCTACAGACAAACCTATTCCGTGATCTCTCTCGGATTTTTCTTAGTCTTTTCCGATCTCCGCTACCTAGAATCGGCTCGCTATCGATCGATAACTACGGCTATTTGCATGTTTCCAATCGGCCTCTTTCAGTTGAAATACAGCAGCTGGAGAACGAGGGAATATGCACTGACATGTCACGTGAATATACATACTCGACAGTTGACTCATATCTGACGGATTTGTTGGGGGTTCATGACAACCGATTTCGTTTTCAACCAAACGCTGTTAATAACCTCGGAGACTGTGCATACCAGCTCTCCGTACTATCTGCCATGCGAACGGTTTCCCAATCGATCTTTAGCCGGACTTTCCGAAGAGGTCCATTTGTTCTCTGCTTCACAGACCTCCATCAAAGCAACATCTTTGTTAGTGACCAGTGGCAGATAAAATGCCTTGTGGATCTTGAGTGGGCTTGCTCTCGACCAATCGAGATGGTCATACCTCCCTACTGGCTCACGGACAAAGGCGTAGATGAGATTATCCCAGAAGAATATGACGCTATCCGCCGAATTTTTATGGAGACATTGGTTAACGAGGAAGAAAAGCCAGTCTGCGATAATTTGATCAAGCATGATCATGAATCTACAGCGTTGCGTCTTTCAGAGATTATGAACAAAACATGGGACTCGGGAGCTTTCTGGTATACAATTGGGATCTCAAGCCCCTCGGGGTTGTTCAATATCTTTAATCACCATATCAAGCCTTTATTTTGTGCCAAGGATTACGATGAAGACTTTGGTGTGGTCATGCCTTTCTTCTTTGATAAGAATGTTGGAGCTATCGCAGCTCGCAAGCTTGCAGATAAAGAAAAATATGACGAAGACCTTCAGCGTGCCTTTAATTACCATGCCAAGGAAGAATGAACAAACGCCTATTTCTGAGCAGAACTATGTTGCTCGCCATTGCCGGCTTCTTTCGAAAAAAACTTGCTGGACTGCAGCACCCAAAGCCCCCAAAATTCTTTCTTTTTGATTATCGTCCCTTTTCTTCCGTGCAGCTGCTCCCGAGGAGCTGAGCTGTGTAAATTCTCGGAGGGTTCCTCCAATTTCATGTTCTACCGTCTCTTTGGTTTCGGGTTTCGATGAGGACTGCTCAGCCATCTTCGAGAATGCGGGGAAATGGTATGATCTATTCTACTTGTCAATGCTGCTACAAAAGAAGGGGGGGGTGTTCCCTTGTACTACCTGTAAGGCGAAATTCACGGAAGTAAACAGAGCAGTTATAATGGTGATTTGTATTGGAATTGAAGAGGGTTTTTGTTTAATTTTGTACCTTGACAAAATGGTAAAATTCCCGAAGCCCAAGAACAACTCACTATAGGACAGGTTGGAACGCGATAGCGAATTTCTAACCTACAATGGCCAATCAAAGTAAGCCACCTACGCAACCATCTGTGGCATCGCAGCTGCAAGTTGGCGCTGACGCGCTCCAGTGGTGTAACCGAGATGGAGTCATTAGACATTGAAGTTGATACATGTGGCGAGGCCCTAGGAACAATGTCTGCTACCGCAGCAATTTTCATAGATTGCTTATATCTAGTCATATCTATATTGGGTACAAACTAGTTGACAAGAATGGCTGAACAACAAGGAGATTTACTAGACCGGATATAGTACTTACTTTGAACCTCTCATAGTGTCATATGCTCCTTAGTACTACTACTAGTTTAGCATCTCTCTTTCCTCCGGTCTTTGGTTTATTAAGCTTTAAACTAAACTACCTATTGTCTGTTTTATATACATTCATTAGTAGACGATCGATCTATCCAGAAAGGAGGGGTAGATATATATAAAGCTTCAGTAGATAGACATTGATTAGTACTAAATAGAAGAGTAAGTTGGGAAAGGTTAAGTTAATACAGACTAGGTTCTAATTATAACTATGCTAGTAGTCAGGCCTACCAAAGTACTACCAAAGTAGAAGTAGCAAGCACTTCGAGAGCTACTTCGTGTATAAGAGATTAGTAAGAGAATTAGTAGTTCTTAAAGCTCTAAATAACTTAAAAAGCTAAAGGTTGTATCGAAACATTTAGTATGATATGAAAATCGGTACTGAGACCTCTATAACAGCGAAGTCTTTATAAGTTGCAACTTTTTTTCAGTTACCATTATCCTTATAGATTGTGAAAAGAGCAGATTTTGTTATTTCAGTTTGATAGAGAATCTGTTGAAAACAAGTTAATTTTTCATTATTAACACGCAACCGGGTCTCATTCAACGCTAAACCTGTCACAAATAAACCATATACGCTACTATATATGTTGGTCCTAGGCACATCAGAGCGAGAGCTCTGATATAGTGCGTACGGGGCCTATATACGATGCTAGAATAAAGTATCGAAACCAGAGGTACAGTACATGGTTGAAAATAGGGTGCAATCACCGGAATATTTACGGACCGCCATAACAGTGTGGCGCACATGCAACATTAATTGTGTATTATGCTTAGCCAGTGTTATCCACACAGAATGGAAAAAGAGCGGATCTTGTCATTTAAGTTAGCTGGAGAACTCAGAGCATTTTTCATGCCCCATCTATTGGAAGTTCCACACAGTGTTGAAACCATAGATCTCTGTCACTATATGTTGTAGTCTAACGATGCTATGTAATTTTCTAGTTATCGTATGGTTCCATTAGCAGCGATTACTAAGTTTCTGCCCGGCAGAAACTCCATTGTCAAATTTGGTCCAAATCGGCTGCCGTATTTTTTGAAATGAAAAACTTCACGGGCCAATTAGCACTCAGTTCTCGCCATGTTGAGGGCAGCACGTGTTGGAAACCAGGCCAATAGGTTACCGGTGCTTCCCCAGGGCGAGGAAAAGAGTCTCTTCAAATAGTAAGCACACAGTGTCTTTTGAAAACCAACCGAATTTGATCGCTCTTTTGCAACAGGATTCGAAGTTGCATGTAAGGCATGTCCGATGGCTCCACACAAACAAATTCCAACCGACGGAAGTTTTTCAAAAAATAAATTTTACCATGAAATTCGCATACATATCGTATTTCTCTATTTGGAGATGTGATCTTCCCTAGAATAGGGACGGTACATTTTTCATTCTGTAATCTCAGCCACAATCGCAATTGTCCTTGTGATGAAAGGAAAAGAAAAAAAAATGGCAAAGAAAGTTGTTGCAGGCTGTAAGGACTTGACTTCTCGTGTTTTAACCTGCAGCGGCTTAGTTTAGAATATGGAGCTGGCATCTTGGTCCAAATCGCTTACACAGCCCACAGTAAATTCAGAGAATTTTTGACCCGTGGTATGGAAGAAGTTGTCCAAGAAGTTGTCCAGACGTCAATTCGGTGGATTCATGACAAGCTACTATGAGCAGAATTCTCGGATGTGCGATATCTCGCACTGAATGTTCGTAGACTTTGAACCCGCGCGAGAGAGAGAGAGCAGTCAATACTCGTGGAATCCACTCCAATTGAGCTATCTCGATCGTAATTTTAAATCCGGCTAACTGCAGGAAGATGGGTGACCAGAGATAAAGGGTACGGAGATGCATCCTGCCCCATGAAATCGTTGACTAGAGCAAGTAGAATCGTCTTGCCGTCTTAAATGGCCTCGGATTTCGACAAGATGGCCCCCCCTTTTTTTAAGCTCATACTGGCTCCTACTTATTAGAGCAAGAAGATTCCGGTCTCCAAGTCAAACTCGGTTGAGACAAGTATCTAAGGATTAGGGTACAGTCGGATCTTAACACAAATTTGACTATATATTCTACAACATAGATTAACGCAATCAAGCCCCAAGCCCCCATGACAACTTGGCAAACGAGGCAACCTGCATGCAACGCACGCCTGGAACCTAGAGTCCTGCGTTTTAACAAAGTGGTCCACTAAATGATTGAAAAAAATCTGGCAGCGAGATATGCGAAGCCCAGTTTCTTTGATCCTGCGGCAGATGATCAACTATCAATATTCGTGTGTCAAACGAATAGCCCTGACGGTTGTAGGTGACGTGACTTGTCAACTTAGCCAGCGCTACCTTGGCTAAGGTCTTTTTTTGGCCACACGCCATTAGTGAACAGTTCAAATGACAAAAGTTATTAGTTGCTTTTTTTTCCTTTCAACATTTTGACGTATTGCCACGAGCTGAATTGCGTGGTTAGCAGTTTTGGATGTTGTGAGACACGACTAGTCGAGGCCACAAAACCACCTGAGACCAACGTGCTTTGTGTGAGAAACATTAATAAAGCCCAATCAGCAAGTTTAAGAAATTGAGCACATCCCCAGGTTCGCGACAAACGAAGCTTTTCGGGTGCGGATATCCCGGGCATGATCATCCCTTGCAAGGTCTATGCCCTATCGAATGAAGTGGCTGGATGTTCCAACAAGTAGGTGATCTTATCTGCCCATTCGATATTCATTTGGATGCTCTGTCATATACGGAGTGGTTTAGTGGCAATAAATAGAGCGCCCCTTACACCCTAACCGCGGCAGATGAGCTTAATATAGCCCTAGCATGCAAAATGAGACAGTGTCTACGATATGCGGTTCGTTTCTAAGTCAACTGACAACTTATGAGACAGTTTGAATCTAATCCTAGTCATTCCACAAATCTCCAAGGTAACAAGATAAGGAGCGGAACCAGAGGGGCACAGATCGAAGAAGCCGATCAGCTCATGTATAGGCAGGGGTCAGATTATCTTGATAGCTTGGGGCTCCTAATTTTTCCCGATGAATTGCTTCATCACCGTTTCCAATTCGCCATGATTGTCTGGCAGTTTTCGCCGCCGCTGTTTTGTGGCATTGAAAGGGATCAGAAAACTGGCCTCGAACATGTAGTGATGAGCGTGCTAACGATTTCAAAGCGAGTCATTAACTATTTCTAAGCTTTAAGCTTGGGTTGATTCCTCGAGTAGTTTTCTACGTTTCAATTTTACTGCAGTGAGAAATCCCATGGGCGGATTGATACACAGGGTGAGTTGACTCCAGGACAGGATAATGTCAGGCCCCTACAAACGATTCTGTAGTGTCACCATCGGATATGATCGAAGATCAAATGACCTCCGAGCTACCTGCAAGTAAAAACCATGTGCAAGTCTTGCATCATGACATATTCAATGTGATTTTGGAATATCTTCAAGTACATTGTATATAGCATGGCAGCAACTTGGAACAAACTGACAGTCTGTAAATGCCTTGCCGTCCGTCAATCAACAAAATAAGGCAAGAGCAACCAGTACGTAGTGCACCTAGTCCAGGTGTTTGGTAAGTCGAGCCGATCACCTCATACAAGATCGACAGAAATAACTTGAAACTATTGAACTATTCAGAGCAGTGAGACGGAAGGGGTAAGTAAATCTTTCTAGAGTCTCAAAATAAGGTGTGGGAAATTTGAATGTGAAAGACCCTGTAAGCTAGATTCTGCCCCCTTGTAGACTGTGGCCACAGCCAAATCCAAAGGGGGAAAAGGGCAAACGTAAAAAAAAGATAAAAACCTCATCTAGACGTGTAAATAGTCTGGTGTGCAGAGATAGAAACCGAGTCCATCGAGGCCAACGCCGGGCCCGATTTGTTGTCTGGGGCCCCTTGCGCTGCACACTGCTGCAAACACGCTTTTTAGACGGGGATCCTGTCTCGCGTCAAAAGCATCAACCCGATAATCCGAGGAGCGAGGAGAGAGAAAATGACTGACTTTATAGGAACTCGGTATTGTCTCTCTCTCAAACAGGGATAGTGGATTCGTTTCTCGCCCGTTTGGTTTCTGGGACTGCATGGATTGCTAATGGCAACGCTGCGCAGAAAATTTTTGTGCTTAGGATTATAACATGGCGAGATTTTCTCGTATTTCCGCTTCGCAATGGGGAGGTTGTTCTCTTATCCCTCCTTTGTGCCCTAAACCTGTCATTAATCAGATCAAGATCGCCATTTGATTAGATCGTCAGACTGTTCCCCGGGCACTCTTCTCTTTGAGGAGTAGCCACCCCTTCGTTTTTCCAAAGCCACAAGATCGTGTGACGATGAGGCTATTGTACCTTCGAGATGCGATCTTCAGGCGAGATAATGATAGCATCATTATGTCTTCCCGGGGTACGCTGGGCATGATTGTAAGCGTTGTGTTCACGGCCTTGGCGACCTGCTTCGTGGCGATGAGGATGTATACTCGTGTGAAACTTATGAATCGAGTGGAGGCAAATGACTGGATGGTCATTATTGCATTGGTAAGTTGGATGATTGTTATGAAAAAAAATGCTAGAAACTGATGCAGACACTACTATAGGTAAACTCATATGTCTTCATGGCCCTCGACATTATTGAAGCCGTCAGTGGCATGGGAGTGCATTTGAAAAATATCCCACCAAGCATTCTCGAAAGACAGATGAAGGTAAGCTTGCCCGCAACCGGGTCATCGCCTATCAACCATATCTAACAAACAATCCAAACAGGCCTTCTGGCTCACCATTCCTTTCTACAACGCCGCCGTCCTGTGTGCCAAAGCTTCGATTCTGATGCAGTACTTCCGAGTCTTCCCAACACATCGCATGCGCGTTGTCTGTTGGGTCATGATCACCTTCCTAGGTATCTATGGTACTTGGGCAGTGATCAGTGCCTTTCTCAACTGCGTTCCCGTCGCCAAATTCTGGGACGAATCCATCCCAGGTTTCTGTTTGAGCAAGACCAACCTGTGGTTCTCCAATGCTAGTATGCATATCTCGACTGATGTGGCCATCTTAGTCATTCCCATCCCAGCTTTAATGGCAGTCGACTTGCCCCGAAAACAAAAGATCGCCTTAATGATCATGTTCGCTTTAGGTGGCTTGTGAGTGACCTTGTCTCAGACACATAAACTGATGCCAGAACTAACGGAAACCATCACAAGCGTCTGCATCACCAGTATCGTCCGTCTAGTCAGCCTAAAAAAGATCTCCGATTCAACCGATCCTACCTGTACGTATTGTGTCAGATGGCTCAGCCCTAATCGCATCCCAAAACAAAGCTAAACCCACAAATCAGACGACAACGTCGGCGCCGCCTCTTGGTCCGCCATCGAATGCAACACAGGCATAATCTGCGCCTGTCTACCAACCCTAAAACCCCTCATCGCCCGCTTCTTCCCAGGCATGGTGTCGACTTTCAACGCCAGCCGTACCACCCGCGGCGACACAACCCGGCGCAACTCTGACTGGAACGGCGATGCGACAACCTTCGCCACACCCGGCGAAGAACACGAATACGGCGCCGGTGACCCGGAGCGCGTTCTAGCTCTCGTTCCTAGTACCGGCTTCAGACCTAGTCTTAAGCGCTGGACGAGAGAGGAAGAGAAGAAGTTGGCTCGGATTTCTTCTGTTCCTGGGCCTCGTCCAAAAAGAAAGCACCCTCGTCCTTTGCCTGTGGATGTGGCGGTGCCGTTCTGAGGGTTTGGTGTTGCATTTACACGCATTTGGTTTTGGAATGGCTTGACCAGTCAGGTTGGTGGCTTGGAGTGTTGGTTGATATACCCGTCGGAGCTTTTTGTTTGTTTTTCAGTTGCGCCACACTCTTTTTGGGCTGTTGGGCTATGCTTACCCCGTGGGGAACACGCTCTCTTCTTTTTTTTCTTATGTCAAATTCAAAGATAATGTAATGTGGAAGGTAGGTATGGAAATTTTTGGATATAGAGATAGTCGAGGTCCATCAATCGAATCAAATACAACATAGACAACATGATACTGAGATTTGGAAGAACAGCCACAGAATGAAGCCACTTCGTTGTAATCCAATGCACGCCCCAAGCATAAAGCAACGAGACCGCCCGCCCAAAATTGGCATGCACAAAAGAGAAAGGCCATACACTGTCTAGAGCAACGCGCAAAATTACCGATCTAAAAATCGGCAAATTCCTTATCGACTTCTTCGTAGTGATCGAAGAATCCCTTGAACAACTTGACACCCAGACCGGGGTCCAAGCTTCCGGTAGTCGCCCGGATACTGTGCATACTCAGCTGCGGGATACCGCAGTCAATGGCCCTCATGCCGATCTGGGCACTGGTCATGGGCCCAATAGTGCCACCGCTGCGAGAGTCATTGCGAATCTGGAAGACCTGCAGGGTTGACCCACAGCGCTCTGCCACTCGCCTAATGAAGCCCTCGCTGACGCTGTCGGTAGTCATGTGTCCATTGGAGTCAGCAGACACTGTCACGCCAACGTTAAGGCGGGGCGCGTGGTTTTCCAAGTAGACATTGAGGAAGTTCGGGTTCACTGCGTGGATGACATCTGATGAAACCAAGAAGCTGTTGGCTACTGTCTGAGAAAGGAGATTGGGGCCGTAGTTGTCCTTCGCAAAGGCCTCGGTAATCCGCTCAATGACGCTGCTCATAAAGTTCGACCGAGCACCTTGGCGGAGCAAACTGCCAATCTCTTCATCATCAAACATACCAACCATCTTGACAATTCCGGGAGATGTACTGTCCGAGGAAGCAATGAGCGCTTCCTGTGCAGCATAGCAGCAGAGCTTGTCGTCAATGCGACCGGCGAAGATCATGTCCTTCTCCAGACCTCCCAGTTGAGCGGGCTGAGTATCAAAAAGTTCCAATTCCCAGTTGACAATGGTGCTATAGTCTGTGACGCCAAGCTCCTTGGCGATGATCTTCACAAGCTTTTCAGGCTGGGTCGAGGTAAATGTGCCAAACTTGACGTTGCTAGACTCAGTCTTGGAGTGTTCAAACAGATCAGAGTTATCAACTCCAATGACAGGCACCATTTGAGTTTCCAGGTTGAACGGGCCATTGGCAGGGGTGCCGAAATGGGGAGCGAGGGTAGGTATACGAGCAATAGGCCAGTCAAGTTTGACCAGCTTAGTCTCCACCTTACCAGTTTCCGGGTTACGCACGAGCACGCGACCACCGATACCAAGATCACGATCCCACCAAGTAGTGCCAAGTCCACCAGCGTACGGAGCAACGCCAAGCTGCTGGAAGCCTGCTTTGTTCGGTAACTTGGACACGGGCTTCAGCTTAGCAGTCAAGGCATCGACGTGGCCGGCAACGATAGCCACGCCATTACCGCTCTCGTAGTTGGAGCCAATGTTGAAAGCAATCAAAGAGCTCCCGTTCCGAGAGATGTAGAACTTGCCGCCTCGTTTCAGCTCCGATGTCCACACCGCTCGTTCGGAGAGTTGCTTGTAGCCATGCTCTTCGAGCTGCTTGGAGAAAGATTTGACGGCGTGGAAGATTGTGGGGTTGGATGTCATGAACTCGCAGTATGGTTTGGAGTAATCCTCGGGTTTAATAGGTTCATTGGCGATCGGTGCCTGAGCTCGGACGGGCTGTGCTGCAGGTACAGGCATGAACGCGCTGGGCAGCTGGGCGGAGAATTGTGAAGCCCATGGCATATCGAGGCCTTGGGTGATGTTGTGTTTTCTTGTCATATTGAAAATGGAGTATTGAATTGCATGGGTGTATGGAAGAGGAAAAAGTTGGAGGAGAAAATGACCTGTGAGGGGAATAGGCGGAGCCCCGACGGACTGGTACCTGATCCGTGGATGTGTCTCTTGCTTATCAAGTCCGGTGATAACGGTTTCAGCACCTGGGACGTTCAATTGACTCATCTGTGACAACTACTACATGTCCTTTTTTAATCCGTCAAATGGTCCCTTACATGTAGGTATGTAGGATCCTATTGCAATTATCGCAACAATATCTGTGGCGTGGTAAATGCTTATTTCGGACCTACGAATTGCAAACGTTGAAACCAAGCCCGATGACGCCACTTGCCTCCAAATCGGGTCCCGGAAGTTCATTGCAAAGACATCATTTAAGTGTAGAAAAGAAAAAATTAGCCTAGGATATTCCCTTAGTACTAGAGCGATGTGAATGTTATCTATTTTGGAAATGTTCTTAACTGCTATGTCTCTGCAGCTCGAGTGCAACATACCTCAATGATAATTGCGCAGTATCAACTCTCTTGGGTTTGCAGAATACTAGAATAGTCGACCGCGTTTCCGGCCATGGAACGTATTTTTTAGTTTATTTTTTAGATGTCTTTTCTTCTCCAGACAGATTGCTATTTCCAGTTTGCTAGATAGACTACAACAAGCTAGCACAAAGTCTTTATTTGTGACATGGGTTTTGTTTGTATAACAAGGGATCTATGATACAAGGAGGAATTGACTAAAAAGGCCTTCGCCCCTGAGTTGAAACCGTTGGGAATTTGCGAAAAACACTTCGTTAAATCATTCAACGGATGTCAATGTTTTTACCGCGATCACACAGATCCACCGAGCTACGTGGGAGCTCATTGGCAACCTGGGGTCTGGAGAGAAGTGCAAAATAGCGGGGTTAATCTGATATTTGAAGAGGCCGGGGAGATATTTAACGCGTGTCTTACAGGATACAGGATAGCTCTTGTTGACGCATTCCCGACATCATGGTGATGTCAGTTTACAGAAAAGCCCCAAACGTGAAGATGTAATGTACTACAGAATAAGAATGAAGGGTAAATGTGAGTCTAGTTGATGAGTACAACACTGTGCTGGAATTTTCCATCACACCTTGGGACACAATGAACACACAATTTTTTTTCTATCTCAATTTCACATCTCTGCAAATAGGTTGAAAATGGCGATGACCCAGGCAGCAAACCTGGCAGAAAATATTCTTGGCCATGGTGATAATGCAACAATCACCACTGATGTGTCTAGCTTCGACAATGAATATGGAGTAGAGACTGGAGAGAGGATCCAGGCTACTACCTGGCAAGGGAAGAACCGAGTCAGAGTTGGTAAGTGGGAGAGGCAATTGCCAGTTTAAGCCTTTTTTGCTTTGCTAACCACTATGATTAGTGCAAATGCCGAAGCCACGCGTGATTGACCCTGGAGATGTGATTGTCAGGGTGACAGGAAGCACTATTTGCGGTAGCGATCTTCACCTGTATCACGGTATGAAGATAGTTCCACGATGACCCGAGTGAGCGAACAAACTGACACCGTTTTGTCTGGCAAAGGAGTCATTCCTCAGTTGGAGAAGGGCGACGTGCTCGGCCATGAATGCTGTGGAGTTGTGGACAGTATAGGACCAGAGTCAAAGAAGGTCGAAGTCGGAGAACGAGTTGTTGTTTCGTTTCCGATTGCTTGTGGCGATTGCAGGAATTGTCGGAGAGAGTACTACTCTCAATGTGACAAGACCAATGAGAATAACCTGGCCAATGCCTTGTATGGGAAGCGGACTGCAGGTATGTTGAATAGAGTAGCCGATATGCACTCCACGCGGCCCGGGGGGTCCCAACTCTTGTACTAAAATTGGGAACAGGCATGTTTGGATATTCCCATTTCACTGGAGGGTTTGCAGGTGGCCAGGCGGAGTATATTCGAGTTCCATACGGCGACGTCAATCTACTTCCCATTCCAGCCGAAGTGCCAGATGAGAAGGCACTCTATGTTTCGGATGTTATAGCAACATCATGGCATTGCGTGGTTGACACCGGTGTGAAGAAAGGGGATGTTGTTGCGATCTGGGGAGCTGGGCCGATCGGACAGATGTGTGCACAGTTTGGCTTCTTCCATGGAGCTAGCCGAGTCATCCTTATCGACGGAGGCGATGGAGCATGGCGATTGGATTTTGTGAAGACCAAAGCTCCAAATGTTGAGACGATCGACTTCACAGATTTGCCCAAAGGCGAGTCAGTGACATCACAGCTGCAAAAGATGGTTGAGGGCGGACCCGACGTTGCCTTGGAGTGTGCAGCGGGTGAATACACCAAAGGATGGGCGCATTACTTCGAGCAGATTCTTGGAATGGAGACGGATACTTCGGAGCTATTAAATGAGATGATTACTGCCGTTCGACCATTTGGACATGTTGGGGTGACCGGTGTCTATGCCGGATTTGTGAGTTCACTGGTTCTCGGAAGAGTGAAGTACCTAACCATCATTCGCAGACTAATCACTTTAACATTGGGGCTCTGATGCAAACAGGTGTTCACCTAATGGGTAATGGGCAGGCTCCTGTCCACAAGTATTGGAAGCACCTCATGCATCTCATTCAGATGAACGATATCAATCCGCTGGACATGGTGACCCATCGGGTCCGTTTGGAAGACATAGAGAAACTGTATGCGCTTTTCAATAAGCGAGAGAAAGGTATGCAGAAAGTCTTTCTGCAGACCAAGCACTCTTCTCCTCCATCAGAGGGAGCACCTCGATTAACAGGCCTGTGAGGCAATATTTCGTATTGATGAACTTCTTGAAGAGCATGACTTTTTGGAATTCGCCCTCGCACATATATCACTGGACACACCTCTTGGAAACTTTCAGTCTATAGAAGGAAATGCGTAATAATCTCGACAATTTCTTGACTTTCGATGGAACTAGAAAATACCGGTATTTTGTGAATTGAGTGGCAGAGAAATGGAGATATTGTAGACATCAATGTAGAGTTCATGTCACTGCAGATTGGGAGCTCTTCCTTGATCGGATTTTAGCTGGAATCAACTTCGCTCAAATTTTAGATTCGAGATTGCAATTCATCCTAGTAGATCAGGAGCGAACTGGGGGTCCCTGAACTTTGCCAGAATCTCACGACGTCACTGCATCATCAAGTCAGTTTAAACTATTCGTTCCATCACAATCGCACTGAAAAGGATATCGAGTAAAGTGGATCGGCTTTACGGATCAGCGAGAATGGTAGTCTAAACACTTAGGACACGAGCATGTCCAATGGAAGCGGCTTCTTACCACGCGTTCCACTTTTTCCACCGTCAATCTCTGCATAAAAAGTACGCACGTCAGACGGATCTATGGCTAACTGGCGGTGGTTTTCTCTAGATCGGGTTATGTGCATGAAAGTTCCGCTGTTCGGCCCTCGCTCGGAATGAGGTTAGGGAGCATCATTGACTGATTGATAAGATTATGCTTTTGGGGGTAATTCCAAGGTTGGCCAAGACCACCAACCATTTCCACGGAAGGGCTGACCCAAGCACCAGAGAGGAAAAATTACGGCAGTGGAAATGAGACAATTTTGCCGGTCTTCGATTCAGCCCTTGGATTGCAATCAGCCCTAGAGGCGAGTGGCCTTAGTGCAATCAGATAAGATCCAGAGACCGAGAACGGCTAAACGGGATCCATTTCCCAAATCGATCAATACTCTCACCGCTGGTGAATGACTCCTAGAAAAGTTCTTTTGCGCATGGCGGCATTCTCATTGGCTCAATCGCCGTTTCTGCTAGGTAATGGCTACAGGGCTGGTAGACCGGAAGCAGGGGGAGTTTTGCCCACCCATGGTCAATAGATTGACGAGACACTCCACTCTGAAGCAAATTTAATTTCCACTGGAGATTTCTGATCCGTGTTGTCTATCATGGAGCCATTGACAATCAGGCGGATGAATAGTGAGATGCATGAGAATCTTAGCACGTCACGGAGTGCGCAATTGGGAGTTGCGACGGGATCATCTGCTGTCGCAACTGTCCTTGACCAGTTCAAGTAATACTTGGGTCATGTCTAGGAAACTATAAACACTGTCAGTGAAAAAAACTCAGACTGAACAACATCGATTACAGAAAAAATGCTACCTCAGCCCACCAACGCCCTCTCGGAACCATCTCCACTGAGATTCGGATCAGATAAAATTTTCAAAGGGGATCCTCTCGGGATTAGGTTTAGCAAGATAGCGAATGAACCAATGGCAGATCAGCAGAAGAAGAAAAAAAAAAAGAAGAGCAAACCCTGGAAGAAAGGCAAAGGCATACAGACAGCCGAAAGGGCAATGTCCGAAACCGGCATCATGTGAGCACATAATCTAATCTGATCATCGGCCACTTTTTCTCGGCTTTCCACCCTCCCTTCGCATCTCTTTCTTCTCTATAACCTCTACATATACTCTTTACGTGGCCATTCCCCGTCTGATTGCTTCCACAAAGAATAGAGGTTGATCAAAAAACTAGTTCGTTCTCTCCACTGGTATTTCTCGCTTATTGGTTCACATGAGCGCACTTCCGCTCTTCCGACCGAGAAACGGCTCGTGCGTGTGCCCCGACCACCCCCGACTCTAGTTATTTTAATCTGACCCCAACGCAGTATTTGAACATCAGCTTGGTGTCAAAATGGCCAGTAGTGTGTCTATGACACATGTTCCAGCTGGAGTTCCTGCACTAGCCCTCGCACCGGCACCTACGCTGGCTGCTAGGCCCTCTGTAGCCCCTTCCCCAGGACCGGGTACACCCGGCTCAATCACCTCGAAAGAATGGGTGATTCCACCACGTCCCAAGCCTGGTCGCAAGCCAGCTACGGACACCCCGCCAACCAAACGTAAAGCGCAGAACCGAGCAGCTCAACGGGCGTTCCGTGAGCGCCGGGCCGCCCGCGTCAGTGAACTGGAAGAGCAAATGAAGGAGATCGAAGATAGCCACGATGTCCAAGTCGCCTCGCTCCAACAGCAAATTGGAAACCTCTCCAGTGAGGTTGATCAGTGCCGAGAGGAGATGGGCTGGTGGCGCGACCGATGCCACGCCTTGGAGAAGGAAGTATCGATCGAGCGCAGCGCGAAGGAAGCCCTTGTCAAGGAATTCCGGTCATCTCTTACAGGCTCTAACGTAAGCAATCCCGCGCCCATTCCAGACTCTGTGCCCTTGCCGCCTCGCAAAACCAGAAGCTCCCGAATGGAGGATGTTCGGCCTACTAGTACCGAACAAAACAAGGAAGATGGACAGATGAATGTACCTCTGGGCTGCAATGACTGCTCTAACGACCACTGTCAGTGCATTGAAGATGCATTCGGCATGCCAATTGATACCCATGAGTCATCTCGTTCTAGGCACTCACCTCATGGCGTTGGCAGCCCGGAACGAGATCACAGGGATCCTCAAATCAAGCCCGATCCGGAAGAGATGGAAATCGACTTCACCGCTCAGTTCTCTAGCGTTCCAACCCAGTCTCACGACCAAGAAGTCTCCTCGCCCCCTGTTGATCCCTGCGGGTTCTGCCAGGACGGTACTCCCTGTATCTGCGCTGAGATGGCCGCACAGGAGCAGCAGCGTGTACGCAACATCAACACATTCGAGACCAACCGTCTCGCACCAATCCAATCCATCTCCCAATTCACCCCGCCTCCATCCGAAGGAGACGTCCGCTCAGAGGTGACTCTCCCGCCCATTAGTCAAGCGACCAACTCCTGTGCCAATGGGCCAGGTACCTGCGCCCAGTGTCAAGCCGACCCCAGAAGCACTCTTTTTTGCAAGACGTTGGCAGCCTCCCGGTCAGCGAGCGGCACTCCATCGGGAGGAGGCTGCTGTGGAGGCGGAGGAAAGGACGGCGGATGCTGCATGTCGAGAAATGCCCCCGCCACCGCGCCCAAACCGCGTAACAACGCCGCCATGCCTTCGCAACCCCCCGGGTCCAAGCCCGCTCCGCCCTCAGAGCTAACACTTAGCTGCGCCGACGCCTTCACCACTCTGTCCCGCCACCCGAATTTCAATCGCGCCAGCGACGAGATCTCGACCTGGCTGCCAAAGCTCCACACCCTCCCCGATCCCCGCCAGATCGCTTCCCCAGGCAGCCGCGCTGCCTTGGAAGTCGAGGCTGCAAGCGTTATGGGTGTGTTGCGATATTTCGATCGTCGCTTCTCTGAAAAATAAACATTGCTCCAGGATGGATCTCTTGCGTCCGGGTTTCCTTCCCCCTTTGCTTGCATTTTTTCCCCGCACTTTTGATACCCAAACCCTCTCCCGGGCGCACCATGTACCATCATACGGACTTGTTTCATTTTCTTCTGTCTTTCTCTCCTTGCCTTCCATGGGGAATCGATCTGGCCTTCATTCATACTTCCATGGCTCGATTTATTCTCCATCATCCACCAAAAAGCATGACATCTTGATTCTCATTCGATATCACTGGGCTCGCCTAGTGCAGGGTCACCTGGCCGCTATGAACATGGTCAGTGGTTGATCTGGGGGACCCTTTGTTTTCGATCTCAATTCTCGCCTATTATTAGACGGATGGATTTAGCGGCGTTTCTCTCTAAGGGTTATGTTATGTGTACAACGTGGTCTTATTATGAATGAAACGATAATACCGCACTGCAATTTGCCTATACTAAAAACAAAATTCGAATTGTAGAACAAGATGATGTGATTCCTTTTTCGGGTTGGTATATGTGATAGTGATACGCTTGTTACCAAACTTGTTCTCATGTACATAATGAAGCAGCAAGAAAACGCCAGACACCAGCCCAGATGCTAAGTTGATGAGCCAGCGGTTTGATATGGAAAGGAGAAAAAAAAGCAAGGACGCAATAAGAAGATAATTCGAGACCGAGCTTAACGTCCTCTTCCACGTCCACCACCGCCGCCGCCACCTCCCATTCCACCCATCAACCCGCCCATTTGGCTCATTAGGCTCTGCATATCTGGCATGCCGCCACCACCTCCCATCATCTGCATCATCTTGGCCATGTCAGGCATGCCGGGCATACCACCGCCGCCAGCACCGCCCATAGAGGCCATGCGCTTCTGCATGGCAGCCATCTGCTGATTCTTGTTTCCGCCTTTCATCATGTTCTGAGCTTGCTGCATTTGTTTCTTCTGACCGCCCACACGCTTGGCCATGCCGGCCATCATGCGGTGCTGGGAGAGCACGTCCTCGACCTCACGGACTGTAGTTCCACTACCGTGCGCGATGCGGACCATGCGGCTAGGCTGCTCGACGAAGTTCTTGCCATCGCCGTCCAGTTCGGCTACAGTCATACTGTCGAAGATGTAGACCATGCGGCGCAGCTTCAATGAGCCGTCCTCATCATCCAGACCCTGGGTCATGTTAGACAGACCGGGGATCATGCCGGACAACTTGGAGAGCGGGCCCATCTTCATGATCGATGTAATGTTTTCCCGGAAGTCGCGCAGAGTGTAGATGCCTTCCGCAATGTGCTTGTATGTTTCCTTGGCACCTGCAGAGTCCTTCGTCATGGCTTGGACGTGCTCGACAAGTCCGGCGACATCGCCCATGCCAAGTAACTTCTGAACAAACGCGCGGGGCTCGAATCGTTCCAGATCCATCATGTGCTCGCCGGTACCAAGGAAGATAATGGGAGTGTGTGTCGCGGCGACAGCAGAAATAGCACCACCACCAGCGGCATGGCCGTCGGTCTTGGTAATAATGATAGCTCCAAAGTCTGCCGTTGCCTTGAACGCTGCGGACTGAGCCTCAGCCGATTGACCAATTGTGCTGTCGAGCACGAGAATGGTCTGGTCTGGCGTCACGGCCGTCTGGATTTGTGTCATTTCCGTGAAGAGCTCCTCCTCCTGTCGGTGACGACCACTCGTATCAACAATGATGATATCGAAACGCTCTTTCTTAAACTTGGCCACACCCTCTGCGGCGACGACAGCGGGATCCGTTTGCGTGAGACTACCAAAGTATGGGATCTTAGCCTTAGTAGCGTTCTGCTTCAGCTGGTCGAAAGCACCAGCACGAAAGGTATCCGCGCAGACTAGCGCTGTCTTGAATCCTCGCGTCTGGTAGTGCCGAGCCAGCTTCGTACACGTTGTTGTCTTACCCGCACCCTGCAAACCGACGAACATGATCACATTGGAGCGACCCTTCTTTGGCCGGAAGGAGTCTGCACGCGGGTCCACCAACTTTACGAGCTCGTCGAAGACAGTTTTCTGGATCAGTCGCTTCTTGTTCACTGCGGCTGGGAGCGAGGCGAAGTTCACGCTAGCCTTGATCGATTTGCGAAGTGTTCCCACAAGACGGACGTTGACATCGGCGGAGAGGAGAGCGGCGCAAATTTCTTTCAGCATGTCATCGAAGGCCTGTTATTAAATTAGCAGGTTGGCTTGTGGGCCACATTGGACAACACATGGCATACCTTCTCATCGAGGTTATTGGACCTCGTCAGGTCATTGACGGCGGAGTTGATTCGCCGCCCAAGGTCTTGGAGAACCATGGTAAAGATTTGTGTAATTGTAAACGATTAATAAGAAAACCCAGAATAAGATCGTAGTCGTCTGTGATTCCGCGATGGAGGAGGGGTGAAGGTGAAGCCCGTCGAGAGACCAGAGAGGCGATGTGGAGGAGCCAATCGGAGAGTCAACGCTCTCTCACCGCCCCAAAAAAAAGTTGTATTATGGGCACTTTTGGATCAGCGTCTTGACCTTTTTCTTTACTTGCATTATTGCATAATTTTTTTTCTGTGAAAATGCCTCCTACCTTTTCCAAGAAGCGCAAGGTCCTTGATGGCCTAAAGGGCAACACTGGTCGCAAGAAGAAATTCGTCAAGCAGCGCTTCTATCACAGCAGCTCCGAGGACGAAGAAGATGGGAATTTCAACCCAGTCAGTCTTGAAGACTCGGACGCCGAAGAGGGAGGGGCCACAGCGATCAAACCCTCGGCCCTAGATCTTCGCATGAAGAAGGCAAAGATAAGAGAAAAAGCACCCGCACCGGAACCGAAAAAATCAGACGCTAGTGCTAGCGACTCCGACTCCAGTGTCGGCGAGGAGATCGAGCTGGACGACGAAGACCTCGAGAACGACGATGATGAAAGCGACATCTCCGGATCTGACGAAGATGATCTCTCCGACTCATCTCCAGCCCGTAAGGCCACAGGCGCCAATCGCGGCCGAGCCGTCCCCAAGCGCAACGACCCTACCGCATTCTCAACCTCCATCTCCAAAATTCTGTCCACAAAACTTCCTACCTCCGCACGGGCTGATCCCGTTCTCTCGCGAAGCTCTTATGCCGCGAAGCTGGTCAACGAGGCTGCAGATGAGAAGCTCGACAACGCCGCACGGGCAAAGATGCGCGCCGAAAAGAAAGAGGAATTGGATCGCGGGCGTATCCGCGATGTGATGGGTATCGAGCGAGGAATAGCCGGTTCTGTTGCTGAGGAGGAGAAGCGCGTGCGCAAAATGGCGCAGCGTGGTGTTGTGAAGCTGTTCAATGCTGTGCGCGCGGCCCAAGTCCGAGGAGAGGAGGCGGCCAAAGATGAGCGCAAGAAGGGCACAATCGGTATGGGAGAGCGGGAGAAGGCTGCCAATGAGGTCAGCAAGCAAGGATTCCTGGAATTGATCAATGGAAAGAAGGGGAAGCCTTTGAACATCGAAGAGGCGTGAGCTGGATCTACGATTACCCATGGCATGTTTCTGGCGTTGGGAGAAATTCTTTTTTGTTTTGTATTCTTTTCTACATTGTGATAAATATGCTCATGTGGAGAGTCTTGTTTGATCAAAATAGTACAGGAGATTTTCATTTTGTGAAACCGTGCAAGTCTACTAGATACATCCAATGAATGTTACAATACAAAGTCCTATTTGGTGTCCAAATAGGACCATGAACCCTCACTGTGTTCGATTCAGATAAGATGTGAGGGTATTCAAGATCCAGACAGTCCCACCCGGGGTTTCTGTTGAGGTCTTTATTTCGACTCAAAGTCACTTGCTTGGAGATTGCGTGTCATGGATGGCAATCGCACAACCATTCCGTCAAGATTCTTGGTCATGATCACCTGGCAGCCCAACCGAGAGGTCTCGGTAAGCCCGAAAGCCAGATCCAACATGTCGTTCTCATCGTCCGATGGCTCCTCCATTTTATCAAAGGTGTCTGGGTCTTCCACAATCACATGGCACGTTGAGCAGGCACAAGATCCTCCGCACGCACCTATTTCCGGCATAATGTCAGGATTTAAGATTGTCAACCATCATGTCGGCTCAACTCACCTTCCATTTCAAGGTCATTGGCCTGTGCGATATCGAGTAAGTTATCGCCCTCGGCAACCTGGAGTTCTATCTTGGTGCCATCCTTGTCGATGAATGTCAAATTGATTCTACAAAGACAGTCAGTATATAGCGCAGGTAGCGCAAAATCGGAAGAAGAGAGAAATCTGTCGGGCTTACTCTTCCCCGGCCTTTGGCGGCGTTATATGGCCATGCGCAGCTTGTGAAGTCACCGAGAAAGCACGTCGGGATGTATTAAATCTTTGCAAAGGTGATTCAAGGCTTTTCTGTGCTTTCACTGGCGAGCGAGTGTGTGTTGTGATTCCGGTGTTCCCCCATGACCTTGAATAGCTTAGGCATCTCCGCGATTGAGTCGAACGAATATCCCCGGTCTTGGGTACCCGGCGCAATTGATGACCAACTTCTCGCCAGAAAGCCATGTTGCAGAGATAAGAGTAAATAAATTAAAAGTGGAATTCAAAGCCAACAGAGAAAAGAAAAGGAGAATCCGGGGGAAGATGGGAATAGTGAGCAATGATCGCCCATTGGCCGCGGAGGAAAAAAAAGACTGACAAAGCTTGGGCGTTCGGACATTCCACTTCTCCCGTTCTTCTTTCCCCGAACTGCCTTTTAACTCCGACACAACATCACATCATGGCGTCTCGTGAAGGGATTAATCCCTTGCGGCCTTACTATATCCCTCCGTCTGGCTTATCACCCGCTTCAAATGCGCCTGCCGAGGTGGCATCGCCATCATCAGCCCAGGTGTTTGGCAGCACAGCTCGTGATCTCATGCCGGACTTGGACTATGCCGATTATCTAGAAGCCTCGCCATCGGTGTCTGACTGGGCCCGCGATGCCTTGAACCGAGCGTTTGTGCGCTACACCAAGGTTCTTACTGCGCAGCCGTTTGACGTTGCCAAAACCATCTTGCAGGTGTATGTCGTCCCAGACGCCACAGAGGAGCAGTGTGATCGGAACTCGACACCGGGTGCTGAAGGAAGCTCTTATGATGATTCGGTAAGAAGGCTGCTCTCTGTAGCCGATACACGACTGTGTTTATTCCACGAACCATGACTGACGGACTTGCTTGCGTATAGGACTCGGAATCATCCGATGATGAAACCAGTTACTTCACCTCAGCGGCCCCTCCGACCGCGACGCCGAGTACACCTCGATCTCGCAAATCACGCCACCGCATCACCGACCGCAGTGGCTATATTCGACCAGAGTCTGCCGCACAGCCCAAATATGCCTTGACTCTCAAGAACTCCAACTCTCTGACCGAAGTTTTATCCCAGCTATGGTCCTCCAGCGGCCCAACCTCCCTCTGGAAGTCTTCTAACACTACATTCATTTACTCACTTCTCCTGCCGACTTTGAACACTTTCATCCGCAGTCTTCTGACGGCAATCGTCGGTTTGCCAGAAGAAGACATTTCCACGTCGATGACTGCAGACATTCTGACGGCATCATCCCCTCTGGCAACGTTGGTCCTGTCGTTCGTTTCCTCCTCGATATCCGCCCTGATCCTAGCTCCTATCGACACTGCTCGTACATTCCTGATGCTTACGCCTGCAATCCATGGACCGGGGTCCCTCGTCCGAGCTATCCGCCAGCTCCCCACACCCAACTGCACGATCCCCTCGCATCTCGTCCCAATCACCGTGCTTCACTCAAGTCTCCCCAACCTCATCATGACCTCTACACCACTTTTTCTCAAATCCTATCTGTCCATCGATCCCATTCTAAACCCAAACGCATGGAACCTCTGTGCGTTTCTTGGCTCAGGACTTGAACTCGCCGTGCGATTCCCACTCGAGACCGTGCTCCGCCGCGCCCAGATCGCTACATACACATCCTTGAGTCTGCGTCAAAAGTCCTCAGGCGGTAGCATCAGTGCGGCATCTATTGATGCGTCCGATGTGGAAACCATCGTCCCTACTCCTCGCACATACCGCGGTATTATTGGCACAATGTGGCATGTCGTTTATGAGGAGGGTGTCAGCTCGACTCCGTCAGACACAGAGCGTGCCAAGCAGCTTCTCGGCCAACGTGCCTCACAGAAAAAGCGACAGCAAGGCCAGGGTATTCAGGGCCTGTACCGCGGCTGGCGCATTGGCATGTGGGGTATCGCCGGCATCTGGGGAGCCAGTCTGTTGGGCGGTGTTGCTGGTGGTAGCGAAGACGAGGTGACAACAAGAGGTGGCCATGGCCGTTCTAGCGGCGGACGTTTCTAATAGACGCTATCGAGCATGGAGACAATCGTCTTCGTTCTTTTTTTTTGAAAGGTCACCAAGTCGCCACTCAACTGATCCAACCAGTTATTCGTGAAAAGACATGCCTCAAATCAAGTCTCTTCTGCGAGTCTCATTCAATTGTCATCCCACTCCTCTTGCTATTCTGGTCGTAAAAGCTCGATATCCTGAATCTTCCAAATCGGCAACGTCGGAAGCATCTCTCCTATCGCGTGCGGCATTGATTTCCGGTATTCACTCTCCTCTCCTCCCCTTCTGTCTACATCTTATACCCCAGTGAATGGATCCAGGGGCAACGGCGATCGGCGTCATTTTTTTGGTTTACCAATCCCTGCAGCACAAACCCTGTATAAATCCTCCCTACCCCACTACATAGCTATGTAACGAGGTACAAATCACAGCCCGATCTCGCTCCGTGCTTGTTTGGTATCTAATCTATTTGAAGCTTGATTATGGAAACTGAAATTCTTGACATTTGGCAATTCAAGGCCGTGTTAATCTCACGCCACCTGCTTGGAAATATTTAATTGTATGATCATCCAACCTGCCTTCAACAGATTCAAATGAACAAGCGAGGCGATCCATTTAAGAAACGATCAAATCAACTAATCGAGTCTCTCAATCTTTCGCAGTCGATCCGCAAGTTGAAAGTAGAGCCTATCAACCGTTTCAACAGTCCATGTTGCCAACTCTGGCAACCGTCCCACAGCAGTTCCAAGCACCACACCCCAACTAAGATCCAAAACCTCATCCTCAATCACACGGCCCGGCGGCAGAGACGGGCCATGCACACCCACACCGTGGTCCAACGGCACACTGAGACGATACTTCCAAACAGCCTCCCCATCCACATACAACGAGTACGTAAGAACCGAGCTGCGAGCCCGGACAGGCGCATCAGCACTTGAACCAACATCCTCAACCACCTCCACAATATCAATAAGCCCAAACTTGCTGTTTCCATTCGGCGCATACTTCACCAGAACATCCTCGGTGTCTGTCTGGTAGTATGTACGGATAGGGAGGTAAAACATGCTCAACGGACCAACGCTGAACTCATGCAGTCCCACTCCAGCCGTATTAGGCAAAAGCTGATCAGGACCGAGGTTAAGTTCTGGGTCCGGGAACCTGGTAGCACCGAATTCGTGTCTGTCACCGCTAAGCATGACGATGCGGATGCCTAGATCCCGCTCCGCGCGCCACATGGCTTCGAAGACGGTGCGACGCTCGTCCAGGAATCCGCCCCAGGTATCAGTGGTTCCGACATGCCAGTTCTTAGTGAACGGAACACTGGAGGAGATGATTTTCCAGTATGTGCCTTCCGGCTCTGGGGTTGAGATGTACGCAAGGAGAGATTGGAGCTGGTGGCCGCCGAGGATAGTTGAGTTCTTGTGCGAGGGCTCGGTGCGGTAGGTGCGCGTGTCTAGCATGAAGAATGAGGCTGGGCCGTGCGCGAAGGCAAAATAAGTTACGTTGTCTGGGTGGGCGAAGGGTGCTGCGGGGATGGGTGGGTTTGCTCGCACGTGGTAGTGGATGAAGGGATCTGCTGCTGCGGGATAAGGCGCAGTTTTGTTGCCCTGCGACCAGTCGTTTTCAATCTCATGGTCGTCGAGGGTGTGTAGCCAGGGGAGGTCGATGGCGCGGTTGTTTTCTGGTCCGTGGGCCCAGGAGGGGGATGAGTAGATGCGTCTGTACTCGCTGCGGTAGTGGGACATTGCTGAGCCGAAGCGCCAGGGGACATCTATGTAGATAAAGTCGCCTAGGAAGAGCATGAATGCTGGGCGGAGTAGCGAGGGCAGTTTGGCGAGGGCATCGGTCATTTGCTCGAGGCCTGGGATCCGCAGTGGATGTGATAGTAGGCTGTAAGGGAAATTTGGCTTCAGGCAACTTGATGTTACAAATGATAGTCGGCTTGCTTCAGGGGTTTCATGCTCAGGCGCTGTGATAAATGTGCCAGACTTGTTGTTAGACAGCGAGTAGCGATATCGTGTCGCCGGCTTTAGATCGGTAATGGTTACAGTCGTAGTAAAGTCGGTGGAGTTATCCAGCTTGTAAACAATGCCCTCTTCGTACCAATCCTGGCTCGTTTCAGTAATCTCCTGGAACATGACCGTCACCGGTAGGCGAGCTGAGTCTGGCTCGCGAAAGAGCAAGTTGGCAGTGGTCGGGGAGACATATCCAATGCGCGAGAATGCAACATCTGTGGTAGGATAAAGTAGAATACCACGGGTCAAGAAGTCAAGTGATAGCACTGCCAGGACCACATTGATTAACATTGTGATCCCGGTCCACAGGGGCCACTTTGCCGAGGGCAGCCCTGTCAACAGTGTGTTAAGCACGGAGTCGCCGGTTTTTGCACGGCGAGATACTGAATTATTCTCTGTAAACCATATGGTTAGAATCTATGTTGTGAATGTTTAGAATTGGAGCCTGACTGTTCGAACCACGGGCTTTAGGCGTCTGGCTTTGAGGATGGGTGTTCTTGAGCAAGGATAATATTGACGACAAATACACCACTAGGGAGGTAACCACCAGAGGCACAAAGTGATGGCCAGGAATCTGGAGATACGTCAGTTTTCTGAAACGCGAGATTGACCGTCTAGTGGGGGGGGGGGGGGTCATACCCATCGCAGAAACGTGAAGGTCGTCAGTCGGATGATCGCCGAGCTCGTGGCTATCGCAATGCGCAGTAGGGAGGCCATTATGCAAATCAATATGACCAAGTGCAAAGATAAAAAATCACTGCATGCTACCTTGAAACAATGAGGAGATGGTGAAGAACGGAAGATGGTCTTTCCAAGAGTTGGTAATTGATGCGATGACGTATCTATCTAGGGAAAGATCGACAATGGCCTTCGTTGAAATCAATTTGCTGCAAAGTGCACGAAGATTGTATAAACTGATGTCTGTTCAATGACGATAGAGCAGGACGATAGAGCAGATTTATCTATTTTAACCACAATGGTAGTACCTACAATTTAGGGACCTGCTGAAAGCTGACGCTGTAATCCCGAAGACAAATGAGGCCGCTACTCCTGATGGGCTACATAAGACCATTTAACCGCTAGGCCAAAAGATCATAAGGACAAACAGAACATCTGTTTGTCATTGCAGCGGCATATATATCAGGCCCTAATATCCATTAGGGACCACATCCCTCCCCACTAGCCTAGACTACGCCACAGGCTGGCCACTCGCAAAGGCCTTGCCAGATGCCACAGAGGAAGCCATCGCCGAATTCCTCCACGAAGATATCTTCACGGTATACGGAGCGCTAGCGGAATTTCTAACCGACAATAGCGCCAACCTACTTACCACCTCAGTGCAATACATACTTCATTAAGCTAATCAACGCTAAGTATAGGACAACGACGCCGTACTGCCCGCGGACGAACGGCAAGGTAGAGAACTTCAACGGTCTACTAGGACGGATACTCACTAAGTACAATATAGGGAAACCTACTCGGGTGAAAGACCTATACCTAGCCTGTGTTATGGAATTAAGCTGGTTGTGGTAAAGATGATCTTATTACTATAGAGTTGTTGCGTAGGATAAGTACGCTGCTTAATAATACGTATGTCATCATCCATCCCTCACAACTGCCCCCGTTGAAAGCGTGCTGCCGCCCTCGGTAGCATCGGATGTGTGTCTAAAAGTCCATTGCAAGCTGGTCGTGCG